CAGATAAGACAAAACCGTCTCTGTCTGGCGTACTAGCAACTGCATTATCTTTTCCATTGTGGATGAACAGGATCCCCAGCTCTTCCAGAGTGCTCCAAGGTTCTGCTCTGTCCGTAAACCCTCTAAGATAACTTAAGTTGGTACCCGGGCTGGGAGACAGACACAAGAACTTTATCACTGACGACCAAAAAAGTGCTGCAATACTCTCTTGGAAGAACAAAAATAAATAAACCATATTGAAAACATGCTGACTTTTCCGCTGCACAGACCTTCTTGGAGAAATATGTCTAGTCGTATGTGTCAGATGTAGGTTTACCTTTGTCGAGTGTAGCTCAAATTGGGGCCAAGGGATTGTGAGCTGGTCATATCTATACAACGAATGCCACCTTCAGCAAAGGTGCTCCATCTACAGTAAAAAAAAAATAAACAAGCTGAACACTAATTCTTGTGTGCAAGAGTGGTTTGAAGAGCAGCGGTTTGAGTGTGAAAGTGGCCTGATGTCATACCTGATATGTTGTTGTTTTGTCTGCAGCTCCCTGGCTCTGTGCTCTCTCAGTATCTGCAGATTTTCCCCCTTCAGCAGGCACACTAATGGTAATGAAAGAAGCAGACAAAAGGAAACGAGAGATAATGTTTTAAAAGGCAAAAAAACAACGATACTATTTCAGGGCTTCAGATCCAACTTCCTTGTTTAATTTGTTTATTGTTACCCTCTGCTTCCTGTTTATTTCCATGTTTAGATATCAGTGACTTCTCTAGGCACTACAACATTCTAGCATTATCAAAGATCATGTGTCATAGGCTTATTTTGGGTGTTCTTTAGTAATTCCTTAGAGTTACCACTGTGAATCATGCATAATTAACCTGACTGTAAGGCAAGAAAAAAAAAAAACAGCTCGGCATGGAAGTGACACACAGCTTGCCTCTATTGCTGCGAAGCTCAACATCACCATCTGCAGTCCTGATCCACTTGTTGCAGGGGAAGTGCTCCACCTCTGCAGCGTCAGCACTCCGCTTCAGCTGCACGTCCAGACAGTGCCAGTTCAGATTGGGAAAGCCAGGCTGAGCCTCAAGACGCAAACGCACCAGAACCACTGTGCCAACCTCCTTTTCAGGCTTGACCACAACAGTGCAGGTCTATATCAAAGAGAAGAAAGATGATTAAACCAAATACATGCATCAGCAGTGTAACTAAGATCTTATTGGTCCCAGTGCAAAAAAACAGTTTACGCCCTCCCAAATAAAAACTGTCAGTGACTAAAAAACAACATCTTAAAGAGGAATTCCCCCAAAAATCAATTATTAAGATGAAAACAAACTCATTCTGAGTGCTAAATGCTTGAAATGAGATGGAGCACTACAGCAAGACTTATTGAGTCTGATTTTGGTGATAAGAACCAGGGTTTGCAATGTCTACAACACAAATATAGTCATTTTATTTACAATCCAAAACGACCAGGGAAACTACACATCTTCTGAAGTTTTTTTATTTATGGTTGCATCTTAATGATTTAATCATACAGACATTCTGAAAAATTTGCAGAATTCCCCTTTAACCAGTTTGGTGCTCTTATTTTGAGATTCAAGTAATTATTGTGCCTAGCAATGAGTACATAAATAGCAGGGTGCAGTACAGATGTGAAGCACTTGCTGGTAGTTATGTCACCAAGAAAAACCAAGACTTTGCTCTCTTTTGTGTTAGCCTGATCCAAAGTCAGCGAGAAAATGTGCATTTTTAAAAACAAATTGAAGGACTTACTGAGCCAGGCAGGAGGCACTGTCCATCTGGAACTACTCTCACTGGTGGACATTCACACTGAGAACCGATCAGTGAGACCCAAAGGGTGTTATATGATCCTGCGAGAGGCCCAGGTGAAGTTCGAATTGTCACATGAAATCCCTCCATTTGACTTCACGTCAACACCTCTAAAATATGAAAGACAGAAATTATGTACATCCTAATCTACATCCTAATGTACATCCGGATTTCTGCATAAACACCTACAAATATGTAATCAATTATAACCTGGCAGGTCTTACAGTTTTTTAGATCAATGTATGATTGCTCCTATAAGCTAGGATCAGTTGGAAATTAATTTTATTCATACCCTAGAAACAATCCGGAATACCATCATTTGCATATAGAGCTGACAAGAGAGACCCACATTTGAATTGTAAATAACACATGCATTTCATCAAACAACATACACAAAGGGCTACTGAAAAACATTAAGGTGAAAAATAGCAAATCTAACAGGTTTCAACTAAACTATAAAGTGGGACTATTGTTGAACTCTTGAAGTTGTACTACTTTACCCAGTTAATTTAATCATTAGATTCAGTGGCGCAGGTTTCATTTCAGCTCTGTGGGGATGCACTGGTCATACCACTTGAGTTGTTTTATACGATTATCAGTTTTAAGCATGTTACATTAAAAATGTGTCATTAAACAGTAATTCAATATGCGAAAAAATATTAACCTTAAACATTTCATATTACTATAATTATATTTGAATAGTCTTGCTGAAGTATCAGTCTACCTGTCACCAGAATTATTCACATTTATAATGCAGATCAATAACAGTGCGGTAACTGGCACTTTATTAACTTTATTAACATTAGTGTTACTGTTCATCAACCTCAGGTCTAGAAACGTGGGTTATAATTATATGCACTTTAATATTGCTGTACTTATTATGACAATATACTTCTTAACCAAGAGCTTTTTCCCCGTCAAGCATAAATAAGAGATGCAAGTATCAGGATGAAAATAATAATTGATCTATTTTGGACCTATATATAAAAAACATATTAAACAACTGAAACATATAGGTAAAGCTGTTATACTGTTCAATGTAATCCACTGTATGTCCTGAAAACTTGCTTACCTGGTTGTGTATTCAAGTCTATTAAGATGCTGAGTTGGTTAACCAAGAACTGAGGAGTATATCTGACTGATTTTCTGATTTTTCTGCAGTTCATAAACTCCTGACACCCACATTTTGCCTTTGATGCACAAAAAGATCTGATATCAGACTTCCTTTGGTGATATTAGGCTTCCTTTACTTCATCACCGTTTACACACACGCATATCTCTGATCTAACACAGATAAGGGTATATGTTAGGGGGCTGAGAGAGAGAATCGCATGGAGAGAGCTAAAACAGCACTTCATCTACTTCAGCTAATTAAATGCCTTTAGACTGAGACTCAGCCGGACGTTTTACCGTTTGGTCGGCAAGACCAACAACGAAGCTCAAAACTGGACATCATTAAAGCGTGTGTTACCCAGATAAGCAATAGCAACACAGTGTTAAAAAGCAAGACCTAAGGGATAAAACGTTATTGTGGGGACAATTCAGTCTCTTCCTAACGCTGAAGCGAGCATGCCCCGACACGCCAACCCCAAATATATGCTTTGATTCCATCTAGTACACTAGAGTAGGTGAAGTGACTAACCTGCTGTAATGCTGGCAGTCTCGGTTGTACGATGTGACTCTCCTGTACTCTCCTGAGCTCTGCACTGAGTGTGTGGGTGGGTGAGCATACTTTATACACTCTTCCTGTATCCCGAGTTATATGACCTTTATGAATATAGTTGCTTCATTTTCCTACCACGGATCGACTGTGGTGTGACGCTTTTTGACGATCAGACAGACCCAGCGATTCCCACTGTGTGCTACGACATCCTAAACGTTTTCGTCCACCCGAAAATATCGCAAAACGTCATTCCCTGACCGGGAATCGAACCCGGGCCGCGGCGGTGAGAGCGCCGAATCCTAACCACTAGACCACCAGGGAGAGCTATACAGCGCTGATAAGACAGACATTATAAAGGTAAAGTCACATAAGCCGATAATTTGTTAGTCTTACTAAAATGAGCGAAATGCAGGAGCTCTAACTGCTCTACCGTGAGAAGAGATCAGAGCACTCCTGGGATGTGCTGGTCATGATCCAGCAGTCACATGAAACCACTCAATTAAACTTAACTGTTACTGCCCCAAGACTCTAATAATAACACAACTTTGTAGCGTTAAATGACTTAAAAAACAATGTTTCATCCAACTCCATGGTCTAATGTTGCTTAAAGATAGAGGTAACATTAGTATCCTTTATCGTGGATAAAACGACATAATTAGACCAGTAACGTTACAGACGTGAGGCGCTACAGGTCCCGTTAAACTGCTTCGCCTGCACTCGTTCCAACTGTTAGCCAAACGAAACCGCTCCGGAGGACTTACAGACTGCAGCATTATCCTGACCAGTTTGAATCGCCATACAAAACTAATCCACACACTGACCTCGTGGCGCAACGGTAGCGCGTCTGACTCCAGATCAGAAGGTTGCGTGTTCAAATCACGTCGGGGTCAATTCTTTTCAATACAGTTAATTCACCTACTTGTTATAACGTTATGGGAAACGACACCTACATGTAGTTGTTGAGTGAAGTCACTACCTGCCACAGTCTTTCTAACAGTCAGCTACGCTTTTCTCCTGGGACCACCGAACAGCCAACAAAGTATATTATACAGGACATTTAATCAAAATCCTACCAAGAATCTATGATGAAGCTTCAAACATTTCAGCAGGTCCCTCCATTTACTCATTCTCTCTTCAAGTTACTGATTCACTGGTACTCCTGACCACAAGATCACCATCCACACATGTAGAAATTTCTAAGGAATTGCAGTTGAACACAGTTCAGTTGGATATTCATGAAATTACTGCACAAGCACACTACTAGCTGACTACTAAACAGTGGGAGGCATTAATCAGCAAACTCACATTGAATATTTTTTTTAGAATATTTAGAAACTGAAGACGAGCTAAACTCACAAAAGGCAAAGTTTTGTGGAGAAAATAGAAGTGATTTACAGATCCAAATTTAGAGCTGTACTTCATTCTCAGCATGTCTGTTAATAACAATAACTATCAAAATGTAGATGAACATGCGCAATGGAAAAAATGCACAAAATGTAATCTTAAAATAAGAATTTTTAATAAATATTTATTTTCTTCAACCAAGACACATAAAACAAATTACGGTACTGGCCAACAGGCTGTTTAGGTAAATTGTGTGTGAATATGTTTTCAAATGCACCTGATGTCATCCATAGGCAGGGAGGGCTGACGCATAGGATGAAATTTCAGTGTAATGTCTTAAGTCTGCTTCCTATATGCACCTCAAAGGCACAATTCAACTGTTCATGAAAGGTGAATCAGGTCTTCCATCTTGGATTAGCTAGGATGAAACACATCTTCTGTGTTTGCTTTGCCTCCCTGAAGCTGAGAACACGAGAAAAAAAAAAAAAACATAATAGTCAGAGTATGTGCAGAACATTTGCTTCCTCTTTCAACAGTTTTGTGTAGGGGAAAAAAAGAAAAAAAAACAAAAAAACATCCAGCATCAAAGGACCCCTTTCAGACAAGATCACTGCAGTCAGCAATTCAGCTCAACCTTGCAGAAACAAGTGTCAAGAGAGATTAAAATTTCTGCAGGGCGAGAAACATTTATCTTTAGATGGGATGCGTGTTTAAGATGCATGCAATCTAATTTCTAAAAAACCGTTATGCCTTTATGAAGAACAGTGGAACTACTGATTAAAAAGATCCCAAGGGTGATTGGACTATATGTCCAAAAGTTTGTAGATACCTGCATATTCAACATTTCTTCTGAAATTAAGGGTATTAATGGGGAATATTAAGGATATTAATAAGGATTTTCCACACTTGCTGCAGTAACAGCTTCTACTCTTCTGGGAAGGCTTTACAATAGATGCTGGAACATTACTGTGTGGATTTGATAGCATTCAGCCATAAGCACATTGCTGAGGTCAGGTACTGACGTTGGATAATTAGTTTTGGATCACAAATTCCACTTCAGCACATTCCAAAGATATCTGATGATGCTCCATCACTCGAAAAAACAGTTCCACGATTCCACAGCCCAATGTTTAGGAACTTTATACCACTCTAACTGAGGCATGGCAATTAGCATGGTGACGTTTGGCTTGTGCAGCTGCTGCAGAGTGTCCCATTCTACTGACAATGCTTTTCTATGGAGATTACACAAGGTGCTTGATCAATTGAAAACTGGTGTCAGCAATGGGTACACCTTAGAGCAGCTGCATTCACTAATTACAAGGAGTGCCTGGGTACTTATGGACATATAGCATATTTCTCTCTTCTTTTGAAGCACGTCTTTGATCTTACCTGTTTAGTATTGTTCAGTGGTAAGGTGTCTGGCTTGCCATAGTCTGGAGGGTTGGCGAGAGGGTCATAACCAAGGCGTCTTAGCATTGGTGCAATGTCAGCCATGTCCTTCACCACATCATCTGGAATTTTGCCCACCCACTTAGACAGGGCCTCTGTATTCACTGGATTGACAACTTGGTCCGTTGACCGTTCAACCCTGCAACAGAAGTATACTGGCTGAGCCTAAAAAAACGAGTAACTAGATCAAAGGAAATAAATACTGCTTTCAGTACATTGTACTTCTGAAAATACTCTCAAGGTGGTTTACAATTCTTTTGTAAGAAGACAGGAATTACTGACAAATAGTTGACAGGAGAGGTATTGCAGTATTAATTATAAACATGACTTTCTAATTACTGGTTCATCCCCGAATCAAACGAAAGAACAGAGCACAGCATAGTTAGCAAGTTAAATAAGCGGCCAAGTTGACCATGCCACCAATGAAAACCATATTATTATTAGTTTACTGGGTAACTTTGAAAATAATTTCAGCGATATAAATATTTCCCCATACTATCAACATAAGTGGACATCAATGTTGACATTATCCTATATAAGGGTGTAAATGATCATGTATAAACATGCAAAACTGCTGCATTAATAATGAATATTAAAGTTAATTACGGGTATTTTTCCAATCTTTTATGAGCAGATGTGTGCATGTCAGCACCGTCCTAAACACACTGTGAATTTACCACCATGTTCTAATCTATGACTAAAAGCAGGTGTGCATGACAAAATCAGAAATATGCATAATTCTTACTATAGGGGGGCATTCATTCTACATATCCTTCCATACATACAGCCCCAGGCTGAGGCTATTTCCACTAAAGACTAAGTAACAAAAGTCAACCATGGCAATCAAAAGTGAACCAAAAGTAAACTATTTAAATGGCTGAACCTGTTCTAAACGTTTGTCTAGCAACTGCATAACTGCAAGACTAAGCATAACTACATGCATGTTCAGATCTATTATTAAGATCAGTCTAGAGCGATCTCACCAAAACTGGACAGTGAGACATTGCCAATTATATCTGGTATATAATATGTAAAACAATTTCCAAGTAATAAAAAAGTAAGTTGCAGATTTTAAGATATAAGGTTATGACTAAGCATTACACATTTTCAAAAACAACGACATTAACGTAATTAACAGAAAATGTTTGGGTAACTACCAGGGATCAACTGGGATTAGTCTGAATTTGATCATTAACTAGCACACTAAAATCAAGAACATAATTATAGGGTCCTTGATTTTAGCGTAAATCTCTGATGATTAAGGCCTGATGTCCCTCCTCAGATATACAAGATTCAAATTATTAAAGGCTAGACAAAAGCAACTACAGCAGGAAAAAAGTAAACTGCATATTGAAGACCTGCTGCAGGACTGGAACTGCTTTTCTCTGCTCCAACCCGGATTCATCTTATGAGCGGAGGTTCTATAATGTAATTTGTAAAGGCTTTGCCTGGTCAATTCACACAGTGTGCAGTGTCTGTACAGAAATCCTGGAATGAAATGTCACAGCACAGAGGTATGCATTGCCGCCGCTATGTCAGGAACCACACTCAGCGACAAGAGCACGATGCACAGCTGTGGCCATAACCAGGTTTTGTTATTGCATTACTGTGAGGTTGATTCTAACAGAGCTACTACTACTAAAGAAGCTCTAGCTTTCATGATTACAGAAAGCGATGTTTTCCAGAGCTCCAACTTAGTGTACAAACTACAGACATTGTACAATAAACTTAAGTTAAAATCATGGATGTGGGTAATCACTTAAATTCTAGAAGCTTGAATAGCGTATTATATCCTACAATGCTCTTTACTTACTTTGACAGCGACACCCCTCCAACTTTCCCAATGAGTTGCTCATGGTGCAGCACTGACGGGTCCCAGGGAAGATCCAGGAATTGGAGCAGCTTTCGCATCACTTGTTCTGGATGCAACACCAGCTGTTCATAGCGCACAGGCAGACAGCTCCTCTCTGAAGCAGCCTGGCACTGGTCGTACATGACCTCTACGGCTCGGTTCCATTTCACCAGGCAGTCCCTGTAACTAGTCAAGTCAAATCCTGTGATAGTCACCTTGCGTGAGATCATGGAATGAACTGTGGCCCGGCCATCGCGAAGCATCAGCACAAATTTGGCATTGGGAAAAAGTTTGGAGAGGTATGTAAGGGATTTTAGCGCAAAAGGGTCTTTGTTACACAGCCGCGGCGCAGGTTCACCATGGCCCACAATGATCTCCAGCAGGAAGGCGCGGATAGCCGAGTCCAGAACCTCGTCCGTAACACCAGCTTCATCCAGACGGACCCTCTCCCGGGCTGAGCGGCTCCAGGTGGCCTGCATGGCTAAAAGACGTGGGATGACGCGGGTCTCCTCTCCACAACGCACCTCAGGGTGGGCGTCCAGCATAGCCCGCATTAAAGTGGTGCCGCTACGAGGTACCCCACCGACAAAAATTAGAGGACTGTCTTCACTGTATTCTACAGGAACTGGCAAGGGGTAACTGAGATTCCTGTGAAGTTGTTGGCTTGCTCCCCATGCACCCCGAGACCGCGAGTTTGGGCATTCTATGGCACTAAGACTGAGATAAAATACTGTGATTGAGCTGATGACCACACAGGCCAGTAAAACACGATGAGTCTGTTTCCTCATGGTTTATGTGTGTGTGTGTGCGTGCGTGTGTGTGTGTAGGGAGGGATTTGGGAATTCAGGAATTCAGTAAAAATCCAGATGGTGGGAAAAGGGCCACTTTGGACCTTAGACAGTAGGAGTTGAGAAAGAAAACGTGTGGAGAAAAGAAAGTAGCAAGCGAGAGAGAAGCAGTGTAGCAAAAGAAAAAAAAAACATGCACTAAGGTAAGGAAGAGACGAGACAAAGAGTAGAATAAAGAGGGGGGGGGGCGGACAGAAGGGAAGAATGCAGGCTAACAGAGGTAAGGGGTAGGGGGAGGGAAAAACAAAACAGTTAAAGAAGGTAAAAGCCTCTTAGATCTTTGCTTAAGGGCTGACTGATGAATCTAGGCTTGCTGAGTCAAGCCTCTGCTTGCTCATCAGCTCCATTGTCTCTGGAAAATGAGAAGAAAGAAAGCAGAATATTTAAACATTTTCATTATTTAGGACCCATGACCATTACTACAATATGACCAAATAAGCAATCTGTAATTCTAGGGGCATTCATTATTTTTAAATGAACATCTCACATTTGTTAAAACTAGCAAAAATAAGTGTGTTCTGGTCGAAATTTAATTTACAGATGGTTTTATAGAGATGCTAGAAAACACCAAAGATCCAAACTCACTAAAGTTAATTTGTGGTGCAAAGTCAATGAAAGTATCAATAGGTCTTATACAAGAGTGCAGCGAACACTGGTTCACTGTAGAGAAACTTACTGACTCCTGCGTCTTTACAATAGTGGTGACAGAAACAAGGGATCGAGATGTAGACAGCGCAAATCTAGCTACATTAACGTGTTGACAACCCTACAACACAATACAAAAAACATGTTTTCTCTGGGTATTATTTTGCCTTGTAACGACCTGCATGTACCTCTCCGCCATGAATGGAGTCTAAAATACATTTTAGGCCAAAACCTAACAATCAGTGGAATTCATCTTTAATTTACTGCATCTGTGCACATCCTGGGTAACCAACATCCCGCCAAAGCAACAGGTTAAATAACGTGAATCCGGAAAACCTACACGGAGCTGATGTCTGCGACACACTGCGTTATCATGCACCACCACGCAACATATTTTCCTATATTGGACATAACGTTACTACCCGTTTTTCACGGAGCTGCGGTCAGCTTTTTATTCGTCAGCTTCTTGCTCGAAATTTCCCGGTCCACCTTAAATGGTCCAGCAGTTACAGGCACCAGAATGCAACTGCAGCACCATTTAAGGTGGACCGGGAAAATTCGAACGAGAAACTGACGAACAGGAAGCCAACTTTAAATTCGTTTTATTTTAACAGTCTGCAAAAGGCAAAATGATGGACTGATGGCGACACAGCTGCAGTGAAGTCTCAGTGTTCGCCATTCGCCACACATCCGCAGAAGCATGGTGTCCAAAAACAGCGTAACGTGCTAAGCTAACGTTACCTCCGGCGTTATTTACCGTCAAATCTTACCTCGACGAGTTTTCATATTAATGTAAGGTAAAAAAATGTCTCTGCTCTGCTCACTTACACTGCAAGCTAGCTCGCGTGCTAACGTCAACTTACTGAAGTTGGGACGCTAATAGTCTCAAGATAAAACAGCACACTGCGGACAGCACCGTGACACAAAAATGCGTGTGAGTGTGGATATTTATTTTTCTAGCTTCAGTTTAAATATTAATACAGATGTAAATTCAGGGGGTTGTGTTAACCTGGCGGGCGACCATGCTGGAGCGGGAACGTTGCTAACCTAACTACATCATGAAGGTTTGTTAACTTAACTTTTTACCGCAGCACAGGCTAATTAATGAAAACAAGATGGTTTAACTTACCGTAGTCCGACAGCAACTCCAGCTACATCCTCCAATCTCCCACACTCACACGCTGAGGTGAAATGCAAATATTCAGGGCAATCTTAAGTGCTCGTATGTAAATGAAGGTAAAACGGCTAAAATCTAAGACGGAATGATTTTGTGAATCATTGTTTCCACGGTTTCGTTTGCTGTAGCTCACAGAAAGCTCTCCTCAGAGCGAACTTCGCCCGAGTTAAATTACGGACGCCGTAGCTCCTCCACTAAACTCTGCTCTCACTGCTTCCAGCAGCCGCCTGCGACCTTAGTGCTCACTAGTGGCTGTGCAGACGCGTTACACTCACCTGCAGGTTGCATGAAAATGAGAAAATTACATTTCGTTTGTTGCAGCCTGCAGTGACTTTTGTGTACGATCACGGACACACAACAGGCACAAGGCCAAAAAAATGCATATATAAACGGTTAAGTGTCACCTGACCGCTGACCCACAAGCGGTGAAACAAGAAGCAATAAAGAGCAATAGAGAACTTAGTCAAAAGAAACATTGCCTGCTTCATGTACAGGCTGCATGTAGACAAATGAGAAAGACATCGCAAAATAATTACAGGTCACATAAACAGGCATGAAACTAAAGTTCAAAAGTTTTCAGTACTAGTACTGTAACTAATCCAGTTATGTACTCTGCATTTGCAGCTAATAAGAGAAGGGAAGCATGGAGGGAGGAAGTATCTGTCTGCTGCTGCTCTGAAGGCACACATCCTTTTTCTCCTTTGACCCATTTTACCACCACAGCAGTCTTTCCATAAAGGTCCCTTGCCGCTGCACTAGAGAACACTTAACGGGCCCACATTTGACATTTTTCTTGTATTTCTGTAACATTTGTGTGGGTTTTTGGGTTCATTTGTACATGACCATTTTCCTACCTCTCTTTATCCCTTAGATTTAAATAGACTGTATCTTGCCTCATTCAATAAGCAGTCTAGGCAGAAAAACTGCTTATAACTTCAATATAAATGGGTGGAGCTAACACTAATAGGTGGATATATGTAAATATGTTGACCTTTGTGACATCACAAAAACAGTGAATTCAAAATGGGCTGTTTTGGTAGCTTAGTTTCCATATTTGGACTGTATGGACTGGTAATTGACGGGTACATTTTGAAACTTTAAGAATGTTTACATCCCACCTCAGATTTTTATTTTTAAAAAAGTAAGGAAAATGCAGTTTTCCATGATTAGGGCACTTTAAGCTCATGTTAAATATTTAACACCCAGAAAATTTCCTAAAACTACTAATGACCCATGTCAAAGTAAATATCCTTTACAACCAAGATGCTGTGATGTTTCAGGTTTCATTATTTATTTATATACAAACATAACATACATGACAAACTCTCATTAATGTAATGAAAATCAAAATGCACCCAGTCAACAACATCACCCTCAATCTTAGCTACCAACAGCGTATCTTCTGTTTTTAAGAAGAGCCCATAAACCAGACTATGTAAATGCAGATTTCAAAACCAGGGGATATTATGTGTAAAAAGGCATTTCCATAAATTCTATCACTGGTCTGTGCTTGCATCCATCTCAGCATCTCCAGGAGCATCTTCTTGCTGTGGATCTCCAGGGAGGATATCTGTGACCTTCTGAATAAGCTCATCTATCTGTTCTTCAGTCAACCTTTCTTCACTTTCTTCTACCATCTGTGCAAGAAAGAACATATTATTGTTGCCAACAACTTGATACATGGATCTTCGATACTTAAAACCAGATAGTCTGATCTACTAAACCAGTGAGAGTCACATACTAAGGCAGAGAAAGAAAAGGCACAAAATAAAGAGAGAAATGAAAGAGAAAGCATATAATATCAAAGGCTGACCAGTTGGATCTCAACTGCTGTTTGTGGTCTGTGGTTCAGGAGTTGCAGCTTCTCAGCTCTGAAAAAAGACAGAGAGGAAAAAATACGAGATCACAGTCAGCTTATGGTGGCTGCAGGTTAAAGAATGCAAAGTTAAGCAAATAGATTCTAGACATTGGCATATTCCATACAATGGTGACAATAAAGGACAAGAGTTGGAATATGTACTGCACCACATGACACAAGTCAGCAAAGTTCATTGTGCTGTAGCTCACAGAGAAAATTACAGAGCTCATCAGTACAGGGCAGACAAACCACACTCTGTAATTAGAAGTACAAAGTGGACGCACACCGCAGCAGCCATATATGACATGGCAGATAAATTATGTCATATACAGGTTTAGAACAAACGTCTGACGATTTTAAATAAGAATGAAATGAAACTCAACACTGGGCATGTGTGGAATACTGTGAGGCAATATAAGAAACGGACGAACACTGACAGCATGATTTTTTGCTATACTCACTTGGTGAGCTTGTGTGGCAGCATCGCAGTGAGGAACTCTTTCACTGTCTCAGGACTTTGGCGAGCACACGGTGTCTTGGAGAGATACTTAAGAGTCTTCAGAGGCAACAGACAGAGACAATGCAAAACAAAGCAAACAAACATTTTATGGGTTATGAAAATCTTTTCCAACACAGCACAATATTTTGATTATTCAACATGAAATTCAAACACATATATTACAAAATAGTAACAAGAGCCAAAAAACAGATATTAGACCCCAAATAGGGTAGGTGTAAGCTAAATTAATTTCTCAAGAAAATTAATCAGTCACCATATATAATAAAATATTATTAGTATAAAATGGCCAATATCCTACATGTTTCTTGCATTTTTACTTTCAGGTCCATTATAAAGTTTGTGTGGTTTTATGTGCAAAAACAGTTATAACAGTCATTAATTTTTACATGACCATTTCTGACCTCTCCTCATCCCCAAAAATTAAGCAGGCTGTTTTTTGTTAATGCACCTTTAAGACTGAGATATGTAAATAAACTCTGTTCTGTTTGGCTGCTCTGTATTGTGCATCATTCAAAAAGTAGTCCAGGCTGCAACAGATTGTATAACTTCAGTGTAAATGTGTGGAGCTAAACTGCTGTAGATTGAATAGGAGTATATATGTAAATATGTTGGTTTTGCCAAATCACAGAAACAAGGCAAGGCTGTTAGTGGTTTATCGTTTATTTACCTTTTAAAACACACACACACACATCATGGCACAACAACATATCCCTATTCACATTTATATTGCTTAACTTCTCAAAAAACAATGTTTGCAAACCGCTAAGGAGACTGGATGGCATTACCTGGCTGCTAGGGAAAAAATGAACAATGTGAATTCACTGTAACACGCGTGCCGCATCGCATCTGGTGTGAAATGGGCGCTGGGTCACTAACCTCATACATTATTGTGTTAAGGTTCTGCTGTCCAGTGCTGTGCTTGTTTTTTACACTCTCTTTTCTCTTTTCTTTCAGTTCTGTTAGGAGCTGATAGACCTAGAATAGTGAAAACACACACAGACGCACACAAACAAACCCTCAGCAATCTAACAAGTCTGAAAATATAACTGGTGTTCTTTATTTTCTCTGTGTATGGCTTAAGCAAACTGCATGGTTTTCAGTATGATTACTATTCAATATGTTAATCAAAATTTTTTTATTGTATTATATTAATGAACATAAACATTAGTAACATTACTTACCTCATAATTGCTGAGCATAGCAGCGTTAGCATCCCTCCTGCAAAGAACACATGAAATATTATTAATATATCTTAAACAATGGATGGTTAAGTTGACCGATAACCAAAATGCTAACCAAATTCAGTTGATAAGAACTGACAGCAGCAGTATCCCATTTAAAGGGACATTCTGGCCAAAATGAAAAATGCAACCATTCCTACATCTGTTGTAAGTATACTTACATGGATCCTACAGTGGTACCTCAGTAGTATCTAGAGTGAGATCTGTTTGGTTTAAACGCTCCAAAAAACCCTTCTACTGATGTATTCTGAAGGTGGGAGTAACTTTTGAAAAATCTGCTTTGGGGTGGATTTCTGGGGGCTGTTTTGCAACATTTTTGTTGTTAACTGTTGACCGTAGAATTAAGGCAAATGCCTAGTGTTACTGCTAGAAAGCAGAATCTTATTGCAGTAGTTATTGTATAACTGTATTGACTGTCTTCAAATTATTATCACAATGAAGAAAATGGAGCAAATGACAGAAACGACTAGTCAGTTCAGGAGGACAACCAGCTAAAAGCTAAAGTTAGCAAGGTAGCTCGATATCTACAGACATTACATCAGTGTATATGGCTGAAAGGGTTAAAAAAATTTTCTGTGGAATCCATTTTGTGCGGAATGATTTTGTTTGACGACCCAGGTAAGCACTACAGTTATGCTAGCTGAGAGATATATGACATAACAGAATATGACATAGCGTGACAAATAACATTAAAACTGTAGTTTTAAGCAGGAGTTAATGCCCCTTTAAATATGCCATTTCCGACCCACAACTGAACACATCTGTCCCAAATAGTATAGCGGAAGTACATAGTCATGCAACTGACAAGTAAAAGAGCAGTGTAGCAAATCACCAAAAGCTGGGCAGCAAAAAAGCAACAGAATCATATGACTGTGCTTCAGAAGCTTCACACAGACATGAACTGCTTTAGCGTGTCACTGTTAGTCAATGTACACATCTGTAAAAAGATCTACACTGCAGTCCTCGATTATAATCACCGATATTAAGTCTAATATATGGAAAAAAATTGCATATTGGGAGCCGCGACATTTTATTAGTTATTTGAACAGCTCGCACTAAACTTGTGCAGCCAAGTTACACGCTGATTAATTCTCGTAATTTATTCTTTCTTCACATCTCATTATTATATTACTCCAGTACTCCGGTGTAGGTAACCAAATACACAAAGGACCGATCGGTAAGACATTTCTAATGAAGTCATTTTAGAGCAGAAAGACTTTAAACGAGCTCTTACACTTCCATTCCGCTGGCCTTGACGGTTCCGCTGCTGTAAACAGTCGGGCAGAAACAGTAGACCAAAAATGTTCGTTCCTAGAGCGAATTTGATTACCTTAAATTTAATTATAACAACACCAATAATAATAATAATAATAATAATAATAATAATAATAATAATAATAATAATAATAATAATAATAAGAAGAAGAAGTAGAAGAAGAAGAAGAAGAATGAAACAAAATTACAGACTTAATATTTATTTTTCATTGACGATGCTGCCTGGTAGATACATCATCCATCTCGTTGTAGCAGAGAATTGTAAAAAGCACTCATTTATTTTATTTTTATTATAATTCATTACCTGATGTTTTTTCACCCACATATAATCCATCTGCATTGTGCATATAGTGTAGTTATGTATATGCAGTTATATATAGTCAATTCTATGTATTTAAAAAAAAAGAAAAAACATTTTAATCAAAGCAAAAACCAATACAGGGCACCACGTTGAACAAAGATAAACGAACGGACTATTTAATAGTTATTAATTATATATTGCCATTAAATTAGTAAGTAGTTTAAATACTTTGTGTTTCTTTAGGCCTCAGGCTCCGTTTCGGCGTGTCTGTTTAGTCTTTTGATTAGTTGAGTGAAGTGAGCGACTGTGGTTTCGGCCTATCACTCACTTTTCGGTCTCTAATAATTTGAACATTTATGGGCGGTTTGCCTCGAAATAACTACGGCAGAGGAGCGGCGTTTTGGAGAGGAGGGTTAGGGGAGGAGTGTTTCAGAGGGGAGGAGTGATAAAGATGATAGATTTTTTAGAGGGGAGGGGTGTTTTAAGGGGAGGAGTGTTTCAGAGGGGAGGAGTGTTTTAGAGGGGAGGGATATTTGGGATATTTTTGAACCCTACAGGCTACAGCTGTTGCATCACTGGCTCTGATATCTGAACTTGCACTAGTAGATTTGCTCGTCTGATTAATCTTAATTAATCTTAACTCATTACTCTCCTGTATTTCTGGATATACGGTCTCCACTTGCTGCATGTTCTAGCTAGAAAACAAGTTCTGGTTCAAAATACTAAGACAGCTCAGTTTGACATTTCGTAGCTAACATTAACTGAAGCACAGTAGCTTAGTGCCTCAGCTCCAGCAGAGACAGCGGAGTCCGAAGAGGGAACTATGGCAGGATCTGAGGTAAAGACCGCTTGTCTTGGTCACAGATGTGTCTCTGCTTCCTTATCTTCATCTTACCCGTTATGAGCCGTTAGCCATGAGCTAAAATTGACGGCAGACCTAAAGCTAACTTAACGCGGAGTGGTCTTTGTCATTGTTTACGGTCTTTGTTACTGTTAACTATGTTTTTTAATGCTGAGCAGGGGACCAAACTGTGGGGCGGCAGGTTCGTCGGGGCTACGGACCCTGTAATGGAGAAGTTCAACGCCTCCATCGCATATGATCAGCGAATGTGGGATGCAGACATCAGGGGAAGCAAAGCCTACGTGAAGGCACTGCAGAAAGCTGGCTTGGTCACTCAGGAGGAAATGGATCAGATTCATGACGGCCTTGACAAGGTTAGTTAACTGTAAACTTCAGGTTTTTTTTCCGTGAAACCCAACAGTTGTGGTCCAGCAAGAATAGTAGCATTTGGGTGTGTGATAGAGAGAGAGAGAGAGAGAGAGAGAGAGAGAGAGAGAAAGAGTATGCAATAAAGAAGAAGATCAGTTTTCCACTTCACTTAAAAAAACATCACGTGCCCTTCTCACACTATATGCTGTTGCTCTGAAACTTTTTTGTACTTTAACTAGATTGAACTTGTTGCCGGTGCCATAGTCCATTTTCCCTTTCTCAGTAGAGCTTAATGAATCCCAGACAAAAGTATGCCCTGGCACAGTTCACAGCTGTACTTTCATATGGACACAATAGCAAACCCTCAGTCATGTGACACTGCTGCTAGCAGGTGCCCATTGTACACCACACTTTGCCAAAAATGTGTCTGTTTTGGATCGCTGTTGTGTTGTCATGCTGACTCATAAAAACCTATCAGGCTTTATTTTTCTAATTCATGTTATTTGAGACCTCCTAATTGAGGTAATTTGAAAATTTTGTAAGACACACACATTGTCTTGTGTTGTTGGTGCTTGTTCAGAAATATGTTAATCTGTCTCTGTAATGTAAAATCAGGTTTTTGGTGAATGGTCCAGCGGTAAATTCCAGATCAAGCCTGGCGATGAGGATATTCACACAGCCAATGAGCGCAGACTAAAGGTAAGGCTGTGCTTGTTTGTACACGTCACCACTTGCATTTCTTGATCAAACCATAATGACAGGGAACATTTCACAAGGAAGCTTGGTTTCAGCATAAGGAAGACTGTGTTTAGCTTAAGGTGTGATTGTAGGTTTTGATAAATGAAAAAGAATCCTAAAAGTTAATGGTGAAGCACACTGAAGTGCAGGTCATAGTTGACTTGTGCCCCCGTGTATAGCAGGCTTTATGAGAAACGAACAAATCAAAGGCAAAGTTGGCACTCCCTCCTTTTTGCTAGGAGCTGATTGGAGAAGCAGCTGGAAAGCTTCATACCGGCAGGAGCAGGAATGATCAGGTGAATTTCAATTTGAACATGTCAAAATTTAGAATTTAGACACTATTAATTATATTTATAAAATACTAAGTGGGCTTTATATTTTATTTTTTTTTGTTAACGTGTTGCTTTAATAGGTTGTCACCGATATGAGGCTGTGGTTGCGGGATGGAATTGACACACTGAAGGGAAATGCCATAGAACTTATAAATACGATGGTGGAAAGAGCAGCAGTGTAAGAATAAACAGATGTTGTTATGCAGTTCTCTTTTGAGGATGTGTAGTTATTATTAATTTTGCATGGCTGTACATTATGCAATTACAACATAGCTCAGTATGTATAAAAACACATCAGTAGTTGCTTGATGTGATGTTGTTAGAGTTTGGCCTGCATTACTTTGGAGTACAATTTTTCACATTCATTGGGTCATGTTAATGCCTGGATTCATGCAGTTACTCAAAGAAGCTGGCCAATCACCTCTGTGATTGGTCAGCATCAAAGTGCAAAATACAGGGTTAATTAATCTTATGGACCCATTGAATTCTGGAGGGTCCTTGAAATGAACTTACTATGATGTAATGCTGTCCGTTAGGGAAAAATCTGCACTCAAATACAAATTTAGAAAAAGGTCATTGTTTAACTGCTTCACGTACAGTCAGCGCGCTTCTGTCTTTGGTATTCTCAACTAACTACAGATGCAGCACTGGTCTTCCTCAGGGTGACGCTGTAGCAGCCCAGGTTATCTTGCATATTTGCCATAGCATATTTTTAAATCTGACTAATTTCCCAAGAGATCAGAGAAGAGTGTGAATTTTTATTTATTTCTCAAGCTGAAGACAGCTGCATTACCAATGTAGAAAAGAGCAATTCCCAAAGAAGTATTGTTAAACCTAACATTTTGTTGCCATTGAAGTTAGTATCAGCACCGCTATGGTGAGTAAATTTGCAGCCAGTCAGCATAGGACCCCCCTGATTACCTAGGGGTATTTTGCACACTGGTCAGGATACTCACAGCACACAATTAAAACATCTAGGACTGGTTTCCTGGACACGGTCTAGTCTTGCAACATCAATACTGATTCTCCATAAACCTAATGGACGGGAGTCCTGGACATTGATTAAGCCTAGTCTTGGTCTAAATAGCATTGTCAGTGGTGAATCACATTGAAAATTCTTTCTAACTTTATTGTGGCTTTGGAAAACGTAGTAGTCTACTGTGCAGCCCTAACAGACACAAATCATAAATTCATATTAGTCATGGAAAGGGGAATTCCACCAATCTTTCAAAATTTCTGCATTATTAAATCTGTAAGATGTAAACAAAGTAGTTCAGAGTGGTTTGATATGAAATGCTCCATTCTAAAGAAACTTGCTGAGTCCAAATAAAACATCCACATGACAGCAATATGAACCAGATATCTGAAGTGTTTAATGCCCTTCAAAGCTATATCACAAAAAATTATTACACGAAATTGTTACGTTATTCCATATTGACTGCCTTTCTTTTCCCATTAGAGAGATTGAAATCCTGTTTCCTGGATACACTCACATGCAGAGAGCTCAGCCAATCAGATGGAGCCACTGGATCCTCAGGTAGACAAATCAGGAAAAAGAGAGGGTGATTTAATCTGACCTATTAAAACATTTTCTGTGATATCCATGATGTAGCTGGCTAAGTGTTTATATTGTTTTTTATTTCAGTCATGCAGTGGCTCTGAGCAGAGACGTGGAGCAGGTGGAAGAAATCAGGAAGCGTGTCAATGTTCTGCCTCTGGGAAGGTCACTGCTAATGGACTGGATATTTAGGTGAATATTTAATCTGAATGAATAACATTTGTAATATATGTTTTTTTTTAAACAGTGGAGCCATTGCTGGGAACCCATTCAACGTTGACAGGGAGCTTCTTAGAAAAGGTGATCAGTTTTGAAATTTTGTTGCTTATTCAAATATTATATCTTCCTGTAAGTTATATATATTTTACACAGTAGCAGGAGACTTTGTAGGTAAATGTGCTGTATTGTTTCTCGTCTTCTTTGCAGAACTAGACTTTGATGGAATCAGCATCAACAGTATGGATGCCACTGGACAGAGAGATTTTGTTGGTATGCTTGTCAGTTTTCAAATTGAATTTCAGCACAAAATGCATTCTACCTTATGCATATGTCGTTAATATGTATGTTTTTTTCGCGGCAGCTGAGTTCCTGTTCTGGGGATCAATGTGTCTGACACACCTCAGTAAGATGGCAGAAGATTTGATCCTGTACAGCACCAAGGAGTTCTCCTTCATCTCTCTGTCTGATGCATACAGGTACCTTTATTCGCTCTGAAAAACTGATTCATTATGATTAAACTTTTAGTGCCATTTAATCATGACTCTGATTGTACTCTTCTCCATTAATAATGTGATGTCTCAGAACTGTTGTCACATTTATTTTGATATGAAAAAACATGACCTAACAAAGATGAAAGGAGGTTAGTAGATTTGTATTGCGTTTGTGCCTTCTGTGTTGAGCAAGCAGAAACATGAATAGGACTATCCTTCACACTTCAGTCGCTCTTTGTTGTTGTTCTGATGAAGCATCAATATAAAGCCCTTAGTGACTGAGTTCTGTTCTGCTCAGAAACTACCACCGTGAATCCAACAATAAAGGCAGCATTGTACTTCTTTTATATAGTGATAGAAAACATAGTAGCTCACAAACAAAGCTTTAATTCCATGTGCTGATCCATTTTACTATGCCCAAAGTGGAGTACTACTCTGGTGGCAGATTTTTGAGTTATAGTAGACAAAGTAAAAATCTCTGAACAGACCACTGACAAGATCTTGTGTAAGATTTGGTTAAAACGATAACACTCAGTACTTAACAAAAGTGACAGTGAAAACCAACTGCAGAGAATCTTGTAACATTTGGTAAGAGCTGGATTCCAAAGGAATTATTCAATTTAGTAATTGCCTACTAAGAAACATATTATAAATAAATAAATATATATATATATTATTTATTTACATTTTATGTATTTATGTTTTTTCCAATATGTTAAACTCAGCAAATAAATAGAGATTATGCACTAAAATTTGTCGGAAAATGCTATATTTACGCAAGTTCCTTGTATAAAATGTGTTAACTTATTTTCACTTAGAAAATCAACAAAACATGTAGTTTTACTGATGGTGCTAAAAATTGTCTATACTATAGTTTGCATACTGTAGTTTGTATTCTACTGTGTTAATATGTAGGTTTCAACTTGCTCTTTTCTGCTGTATTCGTCTGCACTAGCATGCATAGAGAGCACTGTGCTAGTTAGAACTCTGCTTGTGTGTTTGGTGTGAGCAGCACGGGGAGCAGTCTGATGCCGCAGAAGAAAAACGCTGACAGCCTGGAGCTCATCCGCAGCAAAGCAGGACGAGTATTCGGCAGAGTAAGACACTCTGAACCTGATTCAGAAAAGAGCTCACTGTTATAACGTTTACAAAATTTAAAATGATAGACTAATCGCTTTGTTTCTATTACTTTGACAGCAGACAGTTTGACAGTAGACAATTGTCTGTTCCAGAAAAAGCTAAACGCTGCATTTAATGAAATCATATCTTAGATTAACATTCTGTTACTCACTTGCTTCAAAATTATTTATTTGAAGGTTCTTAGAGCAATAAATCTGACTTAAACCTTTTGATGAAGCTTCCCATATTAACCATTTAATTTTTGCTTAGTGTGCAGGGTTTCTAATGACTCTCAAGGGCCTCCCCAGCACATACAACAAGGACCTACAGGTACACTGATGACAGTGAGAGAACAACTTGACACTCTGATACTGTGTGAGGGAGTGTAGCTTCTACTGTAACAGTCACTGTGTGTATTTTTTGTAGGAGGATAAAGAGGCCATGTTTGATGCCTATGATACAGTACACGCTGTACTGCAGGTAGCTACAGGTGTCATATCTACACTGAAGGTGAGGTACTAATGCAATCTAGATTTTCCTTTCTCAAAGCAATACAATTTACCCTTAAAATACCCTGAAATACATAATAGACATAAAGACAAGCCTAGAATTGGGCATACCCTACACAAGTTTTTAAAATCCTTACAGAGAACAGAGAGAGAAAACAGAACGTCACACGCTTAACATCCGTCTTTAACAGAATTTCCTGTTATTTTGTCATGAGGGCACACATACTAGACGATAAAGGCAAAAAAGAGGTTGCAATCAAAAGTACAACAACAAATAACAAGATTAGGCTACAAAACGCACTGAAAAAAACATATCTCTACCATTATCACATGATACAGGAGAAACAAAGCTAAACTGGACTGTGCTTTAATGCATGCACAAAAAGCGTCACAAAAACACAAACTGGGGATGAATCTGGAGTTAAAACTGAACTGGCTGCTGACTTAAAATTGTAAAGAAAAAGCAACTCGTCAGTCTCCATGGGGCATGCACGTCTCTTCACCTTTTTCCTCCTCTCTCCTAGCTCTCTCATTGCCTATTGCCTGAGTCTTTCCTTCAATTCATGACTTCATTGACCAACTCAAACTACAGGACTCATGAACGTTTTGAATCAAACATGTTTAAAAATATCAGATGGCGTCCGATCACTTAAGAGCTTGATCGGAGGGCTAAAGAATGAGCTCCTAATCTGGAGAATTGCTGGAGAAAGTGAGAAATTACACTAAAGCAGAGAATTAAGGGGAATTAAACAGGAATTCCACTCATTTTTCAAAATGTCTACGTTATTCAGTTGTTAATATGTAAAGAGTCATTCAGAGTGTTTGATGTGAAATGGTGCATCATAGAAAACCAACTCAGATTTGTTTTTACAGTGCTGGTGATATGAAACAAGTCATGATGTCTACAGTCATTTTATTTACTATCCAAAAGGATAAATCTACATGTGTCTTCTGAGTTTTATGTATAGTGTCAATAAAGGTAAAATAGATTCTTTCATCCCTGTTTTGCCTTACAACTTCTTGCATGTACCTCTACCATGAATGGATTTTTCAAAATAATGTTTTTTTTAGACCAAAACTGCATGCAGTATCATAAAAAAAATAAAATAAAACAATGCCTCAGGCATCAGGTGACATATTTATAACTATTTGGTATAATAACTTTGTGTGAAGCTTGTTTTTATGAGCATTAAACTCTGTAGGCATCTGGTTCCTATCACTATCACAACAAAGTCTGACTCGGTAAGTTCCTCTAGATCTCCCATTAAAATCACTCTGAATGACTTTGTTTACATTGGTAACGTCATATCAAATGGAAAATCATTTGTTTTTATAAGACCTTCTTCCATTATAGATCAGTAGGTTTTAACAAAGTTTGTATAAGAACATTGAGAAAACATAAATTTCCATAAATTGCAGATTAAAATATGTATTAATATATATTAAACTTACTTTAACTGTTTGTGATCTAATGCAGGTAAATCAAAAAGCCATGGAGGCTGCTCTCAGTCCAGACATGCTGGCCACTGATCTGGCCTATTACCTTGTCAGAAAAGGAGTGAGTAAATTGTCTTCTCACAGTTGTGCCATCGTGAGGGTTTCATATTGGTTCATTAAATGATATTGACCTACTTGGTTGCCTTTGTTGTAGGTGCCATTTAGGGAAGCTCATAGCTGTTCAGGAAAAGCTGTCTATCAGGCTGAGTCTAAAAACGTCCCCCTGAATCAACTTACTGTGGAAGACCTCCATTCTGCCAGGTCAGCACACATCCACATACCAATAGACAGGTGCTTTTTTGTGAGAATTAAATGCTGCCAGTTCTGCATAGGTAAGTGTTATTAATAAAAAGCTTTCTCCATTATTTTCTGCAGTCCTCTGTTTGACAGTGATGTGTCCTCCGTGTGGGACTACACCAGCAGTGTGGAGCAGTACAGCGCCCCTGGTGGAACTGCGAGAAGTAGTGTTACAGCACAGATAGAATACATGAGAGCCTGGCTGAAGGCACGTAGAGAGTAACCTCTCCTGTGCATATACAGTACAGTGGTACAAAACTCTGTATACTGATTACACTAGTACAAAATGGTGAGTTTACCATATATGACTTGATAAGAAACTGATGTGACACCAATTTTAAGTTTTCTTAATTATTTTGTCTATATATTCTCAAAAGCTCTCAGATTCACTGCCCGAAAATGGAGTAATTAAAATGAGAAATAAGAAAACATGAGTTCAAACACCAAAAGAGAAACCTTTATTTTTTTCATATAATTTCTCAACTTTTCTGTAAGCAAACTTGTAGTATTGTAAACATAAAAAGAGATGGGAAATATGTTACATATTGCTGTCCAAAGAAAAAACAAGTGCCTCTAAAATAATAACTTTACAGGAGAAGGGAAGTTTGTTCTTTATTTTTAAAGTAAGTTAATGTAAAGATGTTTAATTAAAAGTGATTTTGGAGTATTTCTATTGGTCCATTCATCATGAATTTTCACACAATGTGAGGGACAGCTGCCATGCTCAAATGATATAGAAAAACAAAAAATAGAAAAAATGATGCATAAGAAGAGATGCATATTTTTCTTTGGACAGTCACAATATTCTTCTTGGCTGCCTATTGTTAACACATGACAAATTCATCCCTTACGAATCCATCTAAAATAAAGCACTTTGTCATTTTTAAACACAGATTTGCGTATTTTTTAGAGGAAATTGTAGAAAACTAATGAGTTAATAGAAAATCTGGTGAAGTACTAAAAGGGCTATATCAGATAGTGCTGCATATTAACAAGTCAATAAACAATAGCTTCAATTTAATGTGCTAAGAACCTTTTTTTTGCAAACTACTACCCAGGACATTGCCTTTTGTAAACATAATACATCATGTAACTGTGTGTTATATCGTTATCACACTAGTTCAAATATATAGAGGAGGCACAGTACCAGAGTGATTGGACCCGAAAACACACAGGGACATGCCATGGATGTGTACACAATGCGGCCATTTAGATTCTGCACCGGACGGAAGATGTCAATCATGGGCGTTCCAGTTGGAAATAACATCTGTCGGGTTACCAGCGCCAGCTGTGAAATAGAAATAAAAGGACAACGGGGAAGGGAAATGGAAATTAATTTCAAATATTTCTGATATTTCAGATTTACCACAAAAACCTGAAGTTTTCAGTTCATTTCTCAAGTCTTATTTCTCAAGACAGTTCATGAGCAGAGATGCAACCATTCATTTCCATAGAAAAAACTCAGTCCACCTGTTGTTGGCTGATGGGGATAGACTGTTGGAAGACGGTCCAGATGATGGCCTCATTACAGCCTGGTGTGGTCAGAGATCCTGTGTAACGGTAATAACTGGAAAAGTTCTCCAATGATGTCAACATGTCAGTCAGCTGGAATCCAGTCATTACAGTGCTGTTCCCTTTGAGAGTAAAATGATCATTTAAAATACTGTATAATTCTACTTTTTTGAGAGGTTTTATTCTGATTTGTGAGGGGCAGTCTGGTCAGTAGTGTACTTTGGTAAGAACATTCTATATACCATTATAGTAAATACAAATAAACACCAAAACAGTAAAAACTATCAATATCATAGTTTTCATAGTTATCAAGTTTTCAATGTCCTATTAAATAATTAGATCATAGAGTTAGTTCCTCTTCTCAGTGTTTGGATTTATTCAGTTTCATCTGTGTACACCTTATTTAGGCTAATGAAGTATAACTTAGAAGTATTGATTAGCTGAGCCAGGTATTGTATAGAAACTACAAATACTGGGCTTTTTTTAAAGGTTATGCTAACACAGACATTAAATCACAATTTAATGTATTAATGTTTATTTGTATTTATCAGTATCATTTCAAATAAAATAAACATTTACTGTCTGGATGGATAACTTTTAGGTGCCCTACTTTTGCACAAAGCTATTTCTATAATGTGGAATGTAGAATGAATACAATTGTCTGAAATAAACACGTTTGACATTGTACAAGAACTTACCATTGTACCGAACTCTTCCTAAAGCCTCAATCACTTTATAGAATTGCCGATTTTCATGGGGAGACACCTGAAGAAAGGAATGAGAACATCATTTAGCTGCACATGCCATGGCGAGGTGATGGGCTGGAGCTCATCATGAAATCAGACCAAATACTTGCACAACAAAGCAACTCAAGTTTCCACGTTGTAGCAACATTGTATCAAAAGGTTCCTGTGTACTGGTTTACTTTATCAAGACAATAAGAAATAAAAAGACTTTATTACATAAAGAAGATGTCTACATTTTCTCCACAGCAGCTGGAGTTTGCTGGAGTTTCCCTATATTAGGATTTGGACTTGCCCTAAAGTGATAATTTGGTGAAATTTTCCCACCCCAAATGTAGTCAGTCAGACAAAAGTGCCCAGAGGTTACTTCTGTAGTTTTGCATGGAGCAATTATCTTAATATAGTTAATGGAATGGAAGTAATGGAAGCTTATACTTCACAGATTAGCACTGTGCAAACTACAGGCCTAAATCATCATACACTTGCCTCAAACCATGTTGTGTCGATAAGTAATCTAAAATAGACTTGGTTGTATGGTTTCTGACGCTGTACACTCTCAGAAATAACTGTAAGCTTTCCAGGTACAAGCTCTGTGGCTGTGGTGGTATCTTTGAGGGTATCTTTAGGACCTTTTTTCTAACAGTGTATGACATAGTGTTATCTATAAAAATTGAAAAAATGGGAAAAATGTGCAAAAAAATGTGCTTTCATTTTAAGGCATTAGGTTCTTGAGGGTAGACTGGAATATGTAGCAGCACTATATTTTAAGACTTAAGGACTTCCACAGAAAGAGTCTGTTTCCCAACCTTAAGTACATCTCATGAAAATATCAACAAAGTGTAAAAAGATCAGCCATCTCCGAAACGTGTTACCTCAAAGAAGAAGCCAAGAGCTGCTACCCCCACTGGGTCATTCATGGCTTCGCTCAGAGTGTTGTATTGCTGTTTTATATGAACAATGTGGACCTTTGAGAAAAACACACCAAATAAATAAACAATAAACAAATAATAAACAAACTAATAAATGAATACTGAAAGTTAGGAAAGTGTGTTCACTTTACAACACAAGTTATGCACCTTCTATCACTGTTAAAAAGTCAAAGCTTAAGACATACTTCTATACATTAGTGGTTCGAAATACTTTTGGCATGTGAATGTTGTGGTCATGGGTCTGTGCCACGTTCATATTTGTTCTATTTATTGATGTTATACATGGACTGGCCATTTCATGATGTATACCTCCTTTTATCTACACTCATTGTCCATTTCCGGTCCACTTAACGTATAGGCACACTTTGTAGTTCTAGAATTACAGAATTTAGCCCATCTTTTTCTCTGCATACTTTATTAGCCCCCTTTCACTCTGTTCTTTAGTGGTCAGGACCAACACAGAGCAGGTATTTTTTGGATTGTGGGTCATTCTCAACACTACAATGACACTGACATAGTGGTGGCGTGTCTAAGTGTTTAATAGAGTGGACAGTAAGTGGAAACAGTATTTAAAAACTCCAGCCGCACTGCTGTGTCTGATCCACCAGCGCAACACACACTAACACACCACCACCTCATCAGTGTCACCGCAGTGCTGACAATGAACCACCACCTAAATAATACCTGCTCTGTGGTGGTCCTCTGGGGTGCTGACCCTTGAAGAACAGGGTAAAAGGGGGCTAACAAGAGTGCAGAGAGACAAATAGACTACAGTCTGTAACTGTGGTACAACAAAGCACACCTATACGATAAAGGGACTTGGTTAAATGGACAAAGAGTGTAGACATAAAGAGGTGTACTTAATGAAGTGGCCAGTCAATGTAGATGTTCTGTATTGTATGTTCAGTATATCTTTACTATGTACAGCACTGGGCTCAACGACTGTCAAGTGTTTATGTGCTTTTTGAATAAAATTGGAACTCACCTCCATTGGGTACTGCTCTCCATCCACAGTGTGTTCTGAGCCTGGCCCAAAGTCTGTCCCCCAGTGCAGGTGAAACTGAACAGCCTTGTAGGTGTCAGGAAGGCCCCCGCCACGGATCCGCATAGATGACGGGAGAAAAAAGACAGCTAAGGGAGGATAAAATGTTACAAGCAAGAATTTGGACATCAAAATAATACAATGCAATTCTTCTGCTGCTATTTGTGTTTTTCCAGATAAAGACAGTAAATAAGTTTAATCTGTCTGTAAATTTCATTTCTGGAGATCAAAGCACTCAAGCGTTAAAAAAAGTACTACCAAGATGGTTGGCAGCAAATATCCAGGGAATGATTAGAGGGGAATGCAAGTGGAAGCCATCATTCTGGTAAAAAGAATTGGCTAAAATGATCCCCCATCATTCTCTTTTATGCCCTATTTGGCATGTGAATCACCAAAGAAGTTTACTGTCAATATTTTATCCATATTTGAGACATCAAGTTTACCATTAAACATGGAACTAGCAGAGAACTGCTAAATCTGACAGAGTAAACTGAATTTAACCTGAATTTAACTACCAGGGCTGTTATGTGGGCCCACATTGCAATTTAAATGGACTTGAATTCACATTAGTTACTAAATCTTTTTAAAGTAGTTACTGAATAATAAGTTTTGAGATTAATTTTTAAAAATTCTGCAGTTTAGAGTGTTAACTGAGATGAGGTTTGTGTACTGACTCACCAGCATATCCGATGTTTATCACAGTGATGTTCATTACTTCTGTGTAATTCTCAAAGATGATGGCGGTCAGATTGGGGTCATACTGGACCTTGCGTGTGACGATATTAACAGGTGACTGAATCTGCCCTCCACACTCCGGAGAATCTCTGACCCACTGACTGGGCCCTAAAACAGTGAGTACTGTGCATGTTTCAGCTGTTTTCATGAACAGAACAGGCTGTTATACATTAATAAAAATGCTTTAATGGCTGGAAGTTGAAGCGTGGCTGGTTCAGCTTACCTTGGCATTTATCCTCACATGAGTACTGACTCTGATAGCACCACTGAGCTGGAACACAGAACACAAGCTGATGACCCCGACATCACAAACACTGCAACACACAGGACTTTCTTTCTTTCTTTCTTTCTTTCTTTCTTTCTTTCTTTCTTTCTTTCTTTCTCTCTCCATCTCATCTCTTTATTTTCTCTCTCCATCCACACTCTTTCCTCTCTTTCTCCACTTCTTTCTTTCTTTCTTTATTTCTTTCTTTCTTTTCCATCTCTCTTTCCCTCTCTTTCCTTCTCTCTTTCTTTTTCTTTCTGTCTCTCATTTATTTTTCCTCCTCTAATCTCTCTCCACTCTCTCCTCTCTTTTTTCTCTTTCCTCTCTCTCTCTGCCCACACTCCCCTCTCTCTTTCTTGTTTTTCTTTCTTTCTTTCTTTCTTTCTTTCTTTCTTTCTTTCTTTCTTTCTTTTCTCTCTCTCCCTTCTTCTCTCTCCTTTCTCCTTTCTTCTTTCTTTCTCTTTTCTCTCTCCACTCTCCTCTTTTTATCTCTCCCTCCCCCTCTCTCTTTTATTCTTTTTTCTCTCTCCTCTCTCTCTCTCTCTCTCTCTCTCTCTCTCTCTCTCTCTCTCTCTCTCTCTCTCTGTCCAAATCCTGTGACTTCAAGTCAAGGGTTGAAGTGAGTAATCTTACTGGTGGTCATTAACTGAACTTTAAACCATGCTCTTTCTAATAAACGATCCTGAAGTGTTGCCTTTTAGACAAAAATTGTATAAAGCAATTAATAATTGACATAAATACATAAAGACTGTTAAAAACGCTATATTTCAATTATCAATAAAATAAGCATTCTTTACTTCTTTTTTACTGTTTTGCCATAGGATGTAATAATGCTGGGAACTTAAGGGGTTAAACCACTAACTTATGGCCTATGTTGGGCATTTCTGTCGTCATCTGTTGGCTCTGGTTTGATCTCAACTTATTTAGACAGAGAGATTAAGTCAGACAATACTCTCAGTTGAGGTACAGAGTGCATACAATACAAACAGTTCAAAAGACAGTCAATAACAATAGACCCGCTAAACTGTATGACGCTAAAATCCATTGTGAACAGGAATCAAATCTTCAATGCAGAATAAATAACGGCTATCAGGTGTAAACAGGCTATTGAGCGTATTCACAAAAATCCAGAGGTGATCATTATGTCCAACAATAGAGTCATTTATGAGGCATTTTTCACACAGGCAATCACATGTAAGACTTATATCACTGGACTTACATAAGAACTTGTATAAGGATTAATGTGTATCAGAGAGAGTCATTCTATTGTAAAAAATTGGTAGATATCCATAAACATATGACAAAATTAATTTCAAATTAATTTAACACTTTATTTTCTTGAGGTTGATTTTGATCACTGTTTTGTTTATGTAAACACTAGCAATGAAGGTAATATTCATAAGCAATCCTAAAGCTTGATTTTTTTACTCACATAGTCCATCATTATAACAAAATAAATGACAACATTTAGATTATTTAGAAAAAGAAATGTCTCATAATTTAGTCTTACCAGAGCAGATATATGGAGCAAAGAGAAGACAGAGGCGGAGAAGAACTGAGCTCATGACTGCAAAACTCACAAACCCACTTTGCCATGCTGGACACAAGTGTACCTATAAGGACCTTAGAGAGAGAGGGAGAGAGAGAGAGAGAGAGAGAGAGAGAGAAAGAGAGAGAGAGAGAGAGAAAGAGAGAGAGAGAGAGAGAGAGAGAGAGGGAGAGAGTCCACTCCAGAGTCAAGTGTAGGATATCATGCTGCAGTATGATGATTTCTGGAGATGGTGAGTTAAACCAGGCAGATTTGAACAAAAACATCTGTATTTTTGTGATGTAATGTTTTCCTATTAGACTTTAATATGTATTAGTTATTAGCATTGAAATTAAAATAAACCTGTCCATTTCTATATTTGGGGTAAAATTGATCTAAAAAGTATGTTTTTATCACTTAATTTAATGTATTTTATCAGACTTTTGGTCACATATCACTACAGTGGGGTCCACAAGTCTAAGGCCACTAGTGAAAATGTTTCTTTTTGCATTCTTTTTTTAATAGTGTTTTGTGTTACAAATTATATTATCAGTGTATACATTTGAGTGGAAAGTATAGTCTTGGAAATATTACATGAATTTCAAATTTCCTTTTACTGTTCATAACTGTTCATGATTTACTGTTTAAAGATCTAACACTTTCTATTGTTATTTCCAAGTTTAATTTGGACCACAGTGTACTTAACAAAACAACAGACAATCCAAGTTAGATCATGAATAAAAGTATGAAGAATGCATAAAATAAAATAAAATTAAATTAAGAAAAAACAGATGAGTAATTCTGAGTAATGTTAGATGTTCATGCAGTTTATTACAATACAAAAAATGTATTCACTTTGAACCAATCAGAACAAGTTCTCTAAAGTTGCTCTAAAGTTCTATGTAGTTGCTGAATATAAATCAGTTGATATCAGTATATTTGTTGTTTAATGTTATAAGGTTATTCAGTAACCACCATAAAACTGATATGTAAGTTATGATTATATATGGTGTATAATGTAGTTATAAAGTAGTTATGAGCGTGGGAAATGGAAATGTAGTCCTGCATACAGACCATTAGGGTTCAAAGGGTTAAAAAGTAATGCTTTCTTGTTGGAATTAGCACAAACTACCTGTAAACTCTGAAACAGAGTGAGCGCAAAGGAAAAAAATTAACCCTCTAAAATCTGAAGATTCCTTATCAGTTCTTGTCTTGGATACACAGTTCTATGAAAAACTTGAATGGATTCAGAACTTTTACTTTATGTGGCGGTTCTTAAACCTTAAAGAAAAAAGGGCTTTGTCTATGATGGTGGCACTTCTCATTTTATTAGTGACTGAAAAGCTACACAGAGAGTGATAAATCTCTTAAAAGACAATATGATGTTTATCACACTTGAAGAGGATCATTTCACAGCAGTGGTCACTGTTTTCTCTCCCTCTCTTTCTCTCTGTCTCTCTCTCTCTCTCTCTCTCTCTCTCTCTCTCTCTCTCTCTCTTAGTTAAACTCACTAGCTTTTTCCTTTGTATTTCATGCACACTGATGTACTTCCAGAGAATCATTTAAACATGTCTGACCTTTACACTACTGTTCAATGTAGTTGCAGATACAGATATAAATCAGTTTGTCATCAAATATAAAACTTTCAAATAATTAGTAGTACACTAGGAAACTTTAAATAGAAAATAAGACATTTTAAATGTGTCTAGAATAATGAATGGAGCTCTAGAATGATTCTAAAATGGCTTAGAAAGCTGTGTAACACTGACAATGAAGTTCTACTAAAACTAATAACCAAAATTCATCATATTTGAAAATCAGATTCTGGGGTAGATATCTTGTCAAAACTCACTGTAAATAGATAATTACAGTATTCAAATAACAGTGTATGTTAACTCCAAATCACTGAATTATTGAAAACCATGTAAAACACCTTTTACATGGTGTCTAGTTTATAATATCTAAATCTTTTGAACACTTTACAAGATTTTTTATGACAGAAAAACAATGGTATAAGCTTTAGGTACTTCAGCAGCCAATGGGCTTCATTTCCTGACATGGAGTTTCTGTGAGGCTCCAAAGCAATATGTCTGCAGGCACTAATGAGACGTATTAATTGATAATCTATTTGAGCTGTGTTACAACCTAAATGTCATGAGGAGAAAATAACACTCTTTAGTCTCTTAAGTCAGAATATATATTTTTCTCTCTCTTTTTGATGTGTTTTTATTGTCAAAAATCTAATCTAAAAATCTATTTTCTGAAGTTTACCTGAACATATAATCATCACAGTGTGTAAATACTAGACAATCACTTTCCCTAACTCCCTAAGATGTAAAGCAAAAGAAAAGATCAAAGGGATCAAGGGATCAAAATAAACTGCACACACCCCTACAACTCCTAAAAGTCTTAAGTGCTATGCAGGTACATTTTTGTTCATCAGGTTACAAGCAATGTAAATGTAGCCTCAGTGGTACAACTATATTTTTAAGGTCCAACTGTCTTCTTTAAATAGGTGTGTATTTGTACCTTTTCATAACCTAATGTTTCAAAAAAGAAAACTACAACAAAAAGCCCGGAGTGTGGAGTCAATACAACTTAAAATAATACAATTTCAAAGGAATATGGTACAATTATTTTCTCTGACTAAAGCTACTAAGATGTACACTTGCATGTACCACCCCAGTGACAAGAGGGGTACCTCCCCAGTGGCAGTTTAGTTCCTTACACAGGCTCTGGTCACATACTGTATGCTACTTATCACTTGTGGGCACAATCAGTACTGATTACGCAGGTTTAGAGAGTAAGCAGTAGTGGGAGAGCCAGCTGTATCACACATATTACTTCCTTAAAATGAATCAGGAATGTGTTTCTAAGCACAAACTACACTCTGTTACACTGACTCTCACTCTCTCACTCTATGAGTCGGGCAAGATTAATCTCCTTAAATCCTTGGCTTATTATCCAGTTATTACACTCTTAAAATGGATGTGTTAAAAAAACAACACATTCTGCCTCTAACTAGACACATCAGTGTGTTCATCTGGAGACAACACATTTGTGTTACTTTTAACGCAGAATGTATTAAATTAGAAAACATTATGACACAAAAAGTGTTAAAACAGGCAACACAATTAAGGGTGTTGTTATTTAACACATCACTTTTAGAGTGTAATCTGATGGCTTGGTATTTAGAATTATTAGGTAACTCAATACAGGTCTATCAAAACAACCCCCCCCCAACACACACACACACACACACACACACACACCTTTTTTCAAACATGTAATCTGTAATGCCAACTGCTCTTTACTGTTAAATGTGTGAACATTTTAACATTTTAGGACGTCTTACTGGGAATACAGGCTTGGAATTAATCCTTACATTAACCCACAACTTGAGAATAGCTCCTTCAGTTTACATTGTTTTTATGGAGCCCTGCTGGTGACATCCTGTTTAAATAAAAATAATGTGTGGCCACGCCTTATTAACGCGTGGGAACGAGATCCTAATGCGTGGCCATGACTTAATAAGGCATGGGAATGAGATAATTAAGTCGTGGCCATGACTTAGTAAGGTGTGGGAGTCGTGGCCATGCATTAGGATCTCGTTCCCACGCTTTACTAAGTCGTGGTCACGCATTATTATTATTTATACAAGGTGTCACCAGCGGGGCTCCGTAGCTTTTAGATGTAATTACGGAATAATAAGACTTAATAGTCTGATAATAGTCTTATCAGGACGTCATAAGCCCGGAAATTTAAGGTGTTAAGAATGTTCGAAGAGTTTCATCCCAAAATGCTGTACATTCATTTATAAAGAATATTGGATATAATGACTTTTTGAAAATAACAGCCGTGGTATAATGGGAAAATGGTAATTTCTCTAATTAAGGTGGTATGAATCATAATGTAGCACTGCTATCCATTCTATGTGTAAAAGCCCACACTCAACGACATATAAACAAAAGAAAATTCTTGAATGTAGTCTATAAGACGTTCGGAACGAAACCCTTCATTTTTACAGTTTCCTCTGAAGTTTCAGAAGAAATGAGCCGTAGGTATGACAGCGCTGAAACCATGAAACTAGTCCGCACGTTCAGTAGAGTGAAAAGCTGAACGGCGGATCCACATACGTGTCCTTTTAGTTTATAAGGGGTTAACTTTATCACCGTGTCACACATTCAAAAATCTTGTATGACTTGATTGAGAAACCTTTTCTACCGCGAGCACTTTCTCTCCTTCAGCCAATCACTGCTCAGCAAACAGGTACGGCGAGGAACACCACACCCGCGAGAGAGAGAGAGAGAGAGAGAGAGAGAGAGAGAGAGAGAGAGAGGCCCTTAGCGTGTCGGTGGAAGACTCGATGAGAGAGTTCAGTTCAGACTGTTCCAGAAACTTCGAATGAACCGATTCACTTCTAACAGAAACACACACCGTATCTGTCTTATTAGGTTGAAGTAAGGAAAAGAAAGGGGACAGAAACGAGGCAAAAGTGTAGCAATAAAAAGTAAGGAGTGAAAGAGCGAGAGGAAGAGAGAGAGGAGGGGAGGTGAGTAACTGACAAGCAGTGGAGGATGGACGGCTGGCTGAGCGAGGTCCAGCAGCGGCCGGCTCTGTACGTGTTCTGCAGTTCGATGACCTTCAGGCTGATCCACAGACTGCTGCAGACCCTGCCCAGACCCAGGACAGTGGACGCTGATCCCAGGAAGAGCTGGAAATGGAAGAACCTATCAGTGTCCCTCGTCCACTCCCTGCTGACCGGCGTCTGGGCCATCTTCTGGTGAGTGACAGTATGGTACAGAACTTTATTGACCCCTAAACTGTAGGCTTATTATTCGGTCATTAATCTTATTAGAGAATAAGTGAATTATTTAGTTACTGCTGTAAACTAGTACTAAAAAACAAATCGTTGTATAAACTTTGTCACACGTTTTCATTCAATCAAATATTCAGTTCACTTTTTCATTTTCATGTCAGAACTTCGTAAATCCATTTAGTTCTGTTTTTATGTTATATTTTTATGTGTTCACACAGTCATTGACATGTCAAGTATTACTAAATTTAAGTTGTATGAAATTAAATTTTTTCCACTTTAAAAAAACTCAAAGCAGCTGTACTTTACATTGTGTGAAATTACATGATTGGACCAGCAAAACATAATAAAAAATGACGTCTCTTAACATTAACTTGCATTAAAAGTTAAAAACATTTTAGCCTTCTCTTGTAAAATTGTGCTTGTAAGATATGTAATGTTTATAGTTCAGAGAGTAAGGAACCTGCCAGATCCTGAGAGTTTAAATAGGCTAAAATAACTGCTGTGTTTTCACCCACATACATCTCTATGTGGTAAAGGTAAAGCTACTGTGTCTCAGTCATGCACAGATTTCTGCTCTGAACTATCACACCATCAAGTGAGTTAGAATCAGTGACTTGATCACAACACACACAACAAAAGTCACAGTAATACTGCAGAACTGATTCCATACTTCAACATTCATATCCTACAATAAGAGTAAGAGAGTAAGAGTTCAGTGAAAGTCCTGTATGCTTCATGTAAGTACCTGTACTTTTCTCTTGGTGAATAGATGAAGATTCAACTAAATACAGAAACCAGAAAAACTTGTCAGGCAGGCATGAGTCAGAAATGCACACATTCAATAAGAAGAATCGTCTGAGGAAGAAGAAACACTACAGTGTTTATTGAGATAATACTCCAACTGACACAATATAATTTAATGTCACTCTTATCTCTATATACACTGACCAGACATTTCAATAAATATATTACCTTGTTTCTGAACCCATTATCTGTTTTAGCATGTCCCTTTACCAAATAGGTGCACTTTGTAGTTCTACAGTTACAGACTGTAGTGCATGTTTTTCTGCATACTTTGTTCATATTATTTGGGTGGCAGATCATTCTCAGCACTGCAGTGACACTAACGTGGTGGTGGTGTGTTAGTGTGTGTTGTGCTGGTACAAGTGGATCAGACACAGCAGTGCTGCTGGACTGAGATTAGTCCACCAACCAAAAATATCCAGCCAACAGCATCCTGAGGAAGGACTAGAGGATACCTAACACAAACTGTGCAGCAACAGCTGAACTGTTGTCTCTGACTTTACATCTACAAGGTGGACCAACAAGGTAGGTGTGTCTAACAGAGTGGGCAGTGAGAAGACACAGTGTCTAAAAACTCCAGCAGCACTGCTGTGTCTGATCCACTTGTACCAGCACAACACACATTAACACACTACCACCGCATAAAAGGGTAAAAAGGGCTAACAAAGAATGCAGAGAAACAGATGGACTACAGTCTGTAATTATAGAACTATAAAGTGGAGCTGATAAAATGACAAATGAGTATATATATATATATATATATATATATATATATATATATAAAGCAAAATACAAGAAAAATGTAGAATGAAGAATATTATGTAAAAGTAATAGTAACTGTAGGATATTAAGATTATCTTTTGCTATTATTATTTATTTTAATTTTTTCTTCCTGCTGGCCCCAGTGTACATCAGTATCCAGTGATGGTGCATGAGATCCGCTCGTCCTTCACTCCACTTTCATATCTGCTTGTGATCGTCTCAACAGGTTAGTCATGTTTTCCTTTCTCTTAACTCAACACTGACATTCCTCCTAAAAAGCAAACACAGTGCAAAGCTACTCATTGTGCTGGTACAGTTCAGCACTGCAGCATAGAATAAAGCAGTTCATTCATCTAAATTAAATAAGTTTAACAATCATCTCACATTTTAAAAGGTGAAGCCGTGTGTGTTCCCACTTAAGTACAGACTTTACAGCTCTGCTTTGCCTTCTAGCACTGATGTCTAGATAGGAATGCTAGTCTAGAGCTTAGAAACTGTTTGCTTAGTGTTACCAAGGCTATAACTGACATTGAATAGTGTTTTTAGACAATGATTAACCTCACAAGTAGCATGCTTTTTAACATGCCAAGCCATTCATTTATTATGATTGTTCTGTTGATATTTTTTATTTGTCATTTTTAATGACACACCACAATAAATGCATGCACATACAAGTTTTATTTTCTGTGCAGAATTACATTATAGAACTATGAATTCTAAAACCTTTTGATTTTATCAATAAATCAGTATAAAAGAGAGTGATTTTTGTTTGAGAAGTGTTTTTTGACACAAAAAAAAACAACAGAACTGGAAATTTAGGCTGTGAAATCACAATATTTATACTTGACTATAAATAAGCCTTTTGTAAACATTGGAGATTTGGATGGTAGCAACAACCACTTTATATATGCGTTGTTCAAAACATAAGGAGATCTCTTGTGATTAGTTCGACAAAAGGCATCTCTTTGGTAACCACACTAAACAGTGCAAGAGAACTGCCTTACCTGCTGGGCCTCCTGAGCTCCAGCTTGTTTTGTAGTCCTGAGGGAAAAGAAAAACCATGTTTCTGATGTGGTAAAATTGACGCATTTCTTAGAGATTACCAATCAAATTCTCAAGGAGCCCTGCTAGGGCTTATTTTTATTCTGTTATAGTTTTAAACAGAACTTTGTCAGGCACCTCCACTGGCTGCTTGCATAACTATATTTAATATGTATCTTAAGTTACATTTAATCCTGCTTTTGTTTTTTTGAAACTGTCAAAAACTCTCATTTCAATGAACCACAAGTACACTGTGAAAGTATGATGTGCCCTGTGCAAAATTACACCAAAGATTGATCTGTAAATAATCAGAGAATTAACTCTGAACTTTCTTTGTCAGGGTACTTCATTCAGGATGCTGGAGACATCATCTTTAGTGGCTATGCCAGAGAATCATGGGAGTTTCTGCTTCATCATGCTGTGGTAAATCATCCTGCCAGTCCAATCTGTCAGACTAGCTCACAAAATTACATATTTGTTAAATTTCATCAGTAGCAGAAAACATCCAATTCTAAATGAATCTTAATTTTTTTAATGTCAAAAAAAAACAACAAAAAACAAACAGCATATTTACATAACCACCCATTCACACTGAGGAAGTGTTTTAGCCAAGACTGCTTCTTGAATGAGGCAAAATACAGGGCAGCATATCAGAAGTAATTTATATATATATATATATATATATATATATATATATATATATATATATATATGCATACATATATTAAAAGCACAGTAACAAAAACATCTCGTTTAATTCTAATGGATAAAGAGTGGTTGGAAATAATTTATAATTTAGGATTTTTTTAGGTACATAAAACAACACAAACATTATAAGTGATCCTCGGGGGGTTCAATGCTGTAAACTCACATGAAATGTTTTCCTCACAGGTGATCGGGACTTTCGTGTATGCTGTGATTACGAGTCACTATGTGGCAGGGGCTGTGATAGCCCTCTTTGTTGAAGTCAACAGTGTATTTCTGCATTCTCGGCTGTTGCTCAAATTAGCTGGAGTGACCCAAGACTCACGCTTCTACTCCATAAACAAGGTGCTCAATGTTGCAACATATGTCAGCTTCCGACTTGGAGCTCAGTTCTACCTCACTTGGTATATTATCTATAACTACTCTTGGCTAGACCATGCCCTGTTTTTCCTCATTTCTCTGATGCTAATGAACATCATGATCCTCATATATTTCTACCGTCTTCTACGAGCTGACTTCTTCACAAAATACACTCATCAGAATGGTGTCCACAAGTTTGCCAAAGACTAGCAACCCATAAAACAATGACCGTAATGCTCAGCAGATACCCAAAGACAAACTACACTGATTAACCTCGTAATGGACATTCGTCCACAAAGGTGACTCCTCACTGGCTGTGGACAAACTGCTACACACAAGACTTGTGAATAAAATGGTGCTGACTTTTTATTACTGTACATAGTAAGGAATTGGCTGTATTAATTTATGAATTGGATTAAATTCTGAACATTTTAAATGTGAAATGCTCCATTCAAAACTTGACCATGTGACGGTAAATGATTTTTTTTTTCTTGGGGGTGGGGGGTGTGGTTACAAGCCAAAACCTCATCTAATAGCACTGTAAACTTTTTATCGCACTGAAAGGATCAGCCTGGGATGAGCATTAAAATGTTACTTCATACAAAGTGTAACTGTTGTAAGAGACAAAGTATTTTTATACAACATACTGATTGTTAATTATGACTGTGCTTATTATATCTGATGCAGTGTACAGATATTTGGATGTTCTCATTTAAAACCATCTATATTTGCACATGGAATGTGGATCAACTGGATCCAAACAGTGATCTTTATGCAAATGTTTAAGTGTGTAAATTTGAAAGGAATCGACTAAAACAAATTGCCTAAAATTACTTGGAAAAATGTCTGGTTACACTGACTTACATTTAAATAAAGTATTTCTTTCCTTCTTCTGTAAAGTTATCATTTTGGAAATACGAGGTTTTGATCCACCAGCAACTATGTATCTTAAGTTCTTATAAAGAGAGGTTGGGAAATCATCTATAATCCTCCTAGGCAGAAGTGGTATCCAAACAGCTTTAAGACGAAAGCACTTATATTTTGTGGGCAGGACAATGTAGGCAGGACAATGTAGGCCTGTGCCGCCCTATATTGAAATAATCAGTGTAACTGTACGGGGTGGCACGGTCACATACAGGTGAAATTAAATCAAAATTAAACACTGAAAAGTAATTCCATTTAACGTATTATCATTCTAAGGGCTTTGTATTAAAAGGGTGCAGCATCAATAAGACTAGTTAAACCAAGGTACTTTTTTGCTTTAAAAGTTTTGTATGTGTGCCAATTCTCATGTGATAATCGTCTCCCACTAATGTGACAAAAGCCAAGCAGGGAGTATTAAGGGCAGAGCATGCAGAGTTGCTTTACAAAGTTTTTCAAGATCTTAAAGACTTTGGCAAAGTTTAAGTATCATTTCCACCACAAAAGCTCAAATGTGTCACACATACTGTACTTTAACTCAAATTGATGGTTTGAAAAATTTCACGGTTGTACACTTTTGAGACTGCAAGCCCTGCACGGCCTGCTTGATTACCATTTCTGCAGTCCTCTAACCTCTTCATCAGTGGTTAGTTTCTGACCAAAAGACAACTGTAAGCAGGATATGTTAGGTTGGAGGTCTTATGAATTAGATTAATAAAAGTTACTCTGGTTTTGGGAATAGTCTTACACTCAAATTCCTCTAAAAGTAAGAAATACTACATTTTTCAGAAAAAACAAAACCATTTAACATTTTTGATTGTTTTCTTTAAAACAAGGCCTACTTTTCTGGAGTACTGCATGAAAGCTGGTCGTATGCCAGACAGCCAGTTATCACGTGTGTTTAGTTGCTTCTGAGAGACCTAACTCCTCCACAGGCAGTTCACAAGCTAAGCGTTATCAGGTAAATTTCCCCACTTAAAACATTGTTTATAATGCAGACCATAATAAAACTGCAACTCCCTAAATGTACTTAACATACTACTTATACGTATTTAAAATCTTTAGTGTACACTTAAAAATGAATGCCCAGAGTAGGCAATGAACAAACGAATCAATACCACATGTATGTTTTTACAAACATTTATTCTTCTGTACACATCAAGAGCAGTTTAGATGATGCCAATCTGCAAAAGAAGAGAATCTTATTTTAATATGGGTTAATATGGGAAACACACATTGTAGCATTCTGCTTCAAACATCAGTGGTTCCTTTGAATGCATCACAATCATTCAGTTAGAAACAAATTACATCATATGCTCAAAATACTTTGAAATATGAATATAGTACATATATTTCTGTTCTGTTCACAACCTTACCAAGTATTCCCCAATTAGCATGACTTGAACTGTTTGAACAGTACCAACCTATTTGACTTTCATTCACTGCTAGCTACATCTGCATTTTCACTGAACTGTTGCTTTAAGATAACCTTTGATTACTACCCCAAACATTCAAAAATGTGCCACTTGAGACCACTTACTTTGTTTGCAACATCCAGCGCATCATAATCTGGTGCAAGACGAACATATGCCTTCTTTTCACCGTCAGGCCTAAACAGCACAACTTGGTTAATATTTTAACTGCCACTGCATGTCACAAAATCACAAGCAACATGAATCCCATGAATCAGTGGTTCCTTTGAAAACATCACAAATCAGTGTTTGCATCGTTACATCATTACACAGGAGAATTCACTAGAACTATTTCACCCTAATATTTAAGGATGAAAATGTTTGTTATACCTGATCAGTGTGTTTACTTTGGCCACATCAATGTCGTACAGTTTCTTGACGGCATGTTTAATCTGGTGTTTGTTGGCTTTGACATCAACAATGAACACCAGCGTGTTGTTGTCCTCAATCTTTTTCATGGCTGACTCTGTGGTCAGGGGGAACTTGATGATGGCATAGTGGTCCAACCTGAAGAAATATTGAAGATATGATTACAAATAATGCCACACTAAATCCAAGACACTTACATGAAGTATGCAAACGTGTTAGGATGCATCAGTATTGAAAAAAATATAATCACAAAACATCATGCTTTGATCGCTATTTCCCATCATTTGCATCCTGAATATGTGAAATTAGCTGTAATGGTCTAAGACACTTAATAGACTCAAAGACAAGCAATAAGTGCCACAGAGCATACACAGAAATCTCTATATTCTACTATTCTGCATATGTAGGTTTAAATAGCCAAACTTTTATTAAACTCACTTGTTCCTGCGTGGTGCGCTCTTCCTGGGGTACTTGGGCTGCCTCCTCAGGCGCAGAGTCTTGGGCCTGCGGAAGGTAGGGCTGGTCCTGACCTTCTTCTTCCTTTGGCTGTGGACACCTTTCAATACAGCCTTTTTGGCCTTCAGGGCCTTAGACTTGGCCTCAGTCTTGGCTGGGACAGCTGTGAAAATAAAGACCAAAAAAAAATAAACCCCAGCAAGTTACAACTAAGAGGTAACGTCACGTAACGACAAACTGATAATTATCCGTCTATGGTTCTATCTACTAATACAGGTGTGTGAAATAATAACCCCAAAAATGAAATGTAATATGTCTGAGCTATGAACAGAGAACTGGAACAGCAATATAGAAGCGAGTGGAAAGCTAGCCTTGGTACTGTATAGGTATCACAACTATCAGGACCATACGCCGTGGAACTGGAGGGGTCACAAATGTTAAAACAGATATAAAGATGTTAAAATGTTCGTGTATTATCACTGCGCTTAATGACATATCTAACTGTCCGGCGCACTGCTAGCTCCATCTTTAATTCAAGCAACGTTATAGTAGTCGACGTTAGCACGCAGGAAGCTAGCTATGACTTCAAACAATTCAGTATTCAAAGCTTTCGTATCAAGATGTAAAAACATACATATGCATCCATACTCATGTTACAGCAGTAGTATAGTCGCTTACATGGGAGCTACTGGGCATGACATTACTATAACACTTAGCTGCCGGCTAACTCTGAGAGCCAGCTCAGTAACGTGTGCGTCCGTAGTGTGGACATGTTTCACCACTACGACCCTTAATACGACTAAAACACGGGCACTAAGGCAGTTCGGCTAACCAAAGAAACCATCATGTAGAATCACAACTACCTCAATAACGTTCAGACCAAATATTAAGAGTAAAATGTACGGTATAATAGTTATTTTAATAGCAAAATCCATCAAAACGAGCGCACCTTCCTTCTTCGCCTTCGGAGCCATGTTGAGAAAGGAAGAACAGACGGGTTTCCTCCTCTATTTCGCAGGGGCTGGGAAGTGCGCTCTTACCGCGAGAACACAGCGACGCATTATGGACCTTGTAGTTCAAAGCGGCTTGTAGTCAAGACTGTTCACCACCAGCAGGAGGCAGGGGGGGAGTGTTAAAAGTCGAACTGCATACGGTTAAATGTGTTTCTTTGCCTTTCAAGAAAAACTGTCCGATCGCTTAACATCAAAATACATCAAAACTCAGCACCAGAGGAAGAACTATCTTTACATTGTTTGGCACTGCGAACGGAGACAGGGTGAAATCCTATGATGAGCAGTTCCTGACTCTTGAGGTATGTAGAAAGCTAAATTGATTGATATACTCAGAACTATCTGGTACGTATTGTTTTTACAATTTTGCTGATTTGAGAATTATTTAGAGGTGTAGGCCTACTTGTACTTTAGCAAATAAAAGTTGAAGTACTAGTTTTGTTTTAGGCGCATTTAAAAAATATCAAAACACAGAAGGTTGAATCTTAGAGCTGCTCTGTTAGTCTATATAAGTATTAATATATATTATATTATAATATTTTAATATGTTAGGCTATATAAGGGATCTTAAATATTTTGTTCTTTAATCTGCCTTGAAGACGCCATTAACTGTAGGTTAAACATCTGCATTTTTGTTTGTGTGCTGCTGGCCATCTCACTACTTCTCAAGGAGCCCGATTATGAGTTCTCTACCACCTATACGAGAAGACAGGATCATCTGTGAGCTCCCTCTGGTAACGCTCACTGCTGTTTATGGCATGTTATTAGCTCTGCTGGAAAAAATCCACTAAAAGTTTCTGTTGGTTCTTAGTGGTGTCCTATAGCCTCTAATGTGTTTTGTTCACAGTGTAAAGGATTGTAATGGGTTAACAAGTGAGACTCATTCCCGATGTACTTGATGTTTTCCTAATGGGATCTAAAGGTGTCATACAGGAAACTAGTGGTCTCTAATAGTAACAATTAAGTCAATTCCCATTAGAAAGCAAAATCATCAGGTTTTAATCCTAACAGTTCTAATTGACTTTTTCAGCAGGGAGGCTACATGTTTTTAAGTGGATATGACACCGTTTACCTTCAATATGATACATTTGGTTATTTTCCTGGACCCAGATTAAACCTACACCTATACCAAATACAATTTTCATGGTGAAACACCACTAGCATTGCAGTTTTGTCCTAGAATAAGATTAATCTATGGCCAAGAAATCAGCCCCTTTGTTACATGGACACCAGTAGCCCTTGGCGATCAATGATTTTCTAGAAAATCACCATTAGCCATGTAGCTTTAGAGCATGACTAGGCTTAATCGTTGTTAGGGAAATCAAGACATGTTATTCATGTATAAAGTAAAGTAAAGTAAATATGATATTTAAATGTTTATAGGCTGCTTTCCTAGATTAAGCCTATGGATTAAGACCACTCTTGCACTAAATTGCAGTGCCAATGGTGATTCAGCTGTTATTTTTAGTCAAGGCTTAGGCTTAATCTGTCTCTGAGAAACCTTATAGGTGAATTTAATACCTGATACCGAATGGCTTTGGTTCTTAAATTGTTAGGAATAAGCTGGAGTACTTTATCTACTCTTTTCCTGGTATGTTGTTCAGTACTTCACAAAGGATGCTGCACTGCACACCAAAGACACCTTTCACGTTACTGTTCAAGATGCATGTCAGAGTCAGAAGTCAGACCCAGTGGGGTAAGTTGCATTCTCCCAGTCTATCACTGTTCCATTGGGACTCTTCACTAGGCTTATAGACTTATATTCATAACTCATAATGAAGACCTTTGAAAAAACATAGCAATCTTTCATTGTTTTTGTCTACAGATTTAATGTAGCCAAGGTCATTGTTGTGGGTGATGTAGGAGTGGGAAAAACATGTTTAATTAATAGGTGAGTGGTGCAAAATATTCCTGATTAGTGTATTTCATAGAAATATTTGTTTGTGAGATGGTTTGTTTTTGTAATAGTATTTAATTACTTGCCTTAAGGTTTTGTAAGGACTCTTTCGACAAAGGCTACAAAGCCACTATTGGAGTGGATTTTGAGATGGAGAGATTTGAAATCCTGGGAGTGCCCTTTAATCTGCAGTTGTGAGTCATGATTCTTTGCACAGGAAATTATATACGTATCAGATTAAGCAGATATAATAAAACAGTAATTTATAGCAAAACAATGTAATAATGTAATACCTAAACGTGTAATATATAATTTGCATAATTCAGCTAAAAACTTCCCACACAGTTAGTTTACCTGCTTCTGTGCAAAGTTTGAATATTTGCTCTCTCTGTAGGTGGGACACTGCAGGTCAGGAGAGGTTTAAATGCATTGCCTCCACCTACTACAGAGGGGCTCAAGGTGATAACATTTATATTTTGCTATGTTGGGTGTTCATGACTGCTTTCATAGTAACATTTTTGCCTCTTTTTCTAAACTGCAGCCATCATAGTTATATTTGATCTAAGCAACTACTATTCTTTGGACAATGCGAGGTAAGTCATAAAAACGCCACACATTTTTCTGCTTATTAAGTTAGACACACCTAAATGCTGTGCGAGACTTAATTTGACATTGCTGTGTAAGCAGGCGTGTTTGACCTCACTCGTCTCTTTTGGGTAACCATGCAGACAGTGGCTTGAAGATGCCATGATAGATAATGATCCTTCCAGTGTACTGCTCTTCCTTGTGGGAACCAAGAAGGATCAGAGTGTGAGTTCATTTTCAAATGAATACACCTCGCATGCTTGAGCGGTGAACTCAATTTAACTGTTTCTGTCAGCATCCTGACCTGTTGGCCCAGATGGAGCACGAAGCCATCAAGCTGTCAGAGGAGATAAAGGCTGAGTACTGGGCTGTGTCTGCTCTGTCAGGTAGGTCAGGTCACTAGCTTCTGTTTGTCACATCCAGAGGTGGGTAAAGTAGGCTTGACTCATACTGAGGTAAAAGTTGGTAACACTTTATGTAGAAGTACTTCATAACACATGTATAGGCACGGAATAATGTACTTCAGAGATCAAAAGTATTTATGAACAGCTTATGTTAGTATTCCTCTAATCATTCTATTAAAAATATTGATGCTCTCAATCTTAAATGATAATTTTCATATATATCTGGGTCTTTTGAGTTTGAGATCATCTGATATGTGGTGTTCTTAGCTAGGCTTCTTAATTATAGTGTTAAACATGTGTACTTGTCACTTTAGCAGAAGGGCCCTCATCTGAATACAGAGTCATTTACTTTATACAACTTGTGATTACAGGCATAAGCTGTTCAGTAACACTCAAGTATTTCTTGTTATTGTTGTTCCATGCTTGTGCATGTTCCAGTCATTGCCTATGTATGTAGCCTTCAAAAAAGGGTTACCGGGTATGGTTACTCAAGTAAAAGTACAATTTGAAAGTACATTTCCAAAAAACAATCTTATAGAACTGCAGTGGAACTTCTTAGTACATCCAGCATATATTAGCATTGTTACTGTCCACCTCTGATACATCACTGATATGTTCAATCATCTGTTGCAGCAGGAAATCTTCATTACAAAATAGATTCTGACATCTGATTGGTTGAGTCACAGTCAAAGTTGTTATAAGGTTCTCAATATACTCATACATGACTGCACACAAACTCAATACTGTGTCAATGTATCAAGGTATTATGTTGCTTGGTAACCTTAGTGTACTGTTAAGTACCTTGCTAGGCATAGGAACAGTTTATTGCAATTTTTATTATCAATACATACTGATTTACCTTCTTGTATATATTATATTTTGTTGCAATTTTATTAAAAAACTGCTACCCCTCACTTGTGGTAAAATCACTGAAGTGTATTGTGGTTTATTGCTTTAATTCACTGAATGGTACTGTCACAACAGTAATACCATAGCAAATTGCCTCTGATTTTATGCCCATGAACAGGAGAGAGTGTGAGACAGTTCTTTCTCCGGGTTGCATCACTTACCTTTGAGGCTTCTGTATTGGCTGAACTGGAAAGGAAGAATACAAGACAAACAGGAGACGTTGTCAGTAAGTGATCTTTAGTAATTAAGCTTTGGGAAGAAATATTTTTTAACAGGTAATTTGTTAATTATAGTAATAAAAGTGTTAACAGGTAATTTGGACCCTTTCAAAGTAACTTCTGTTCTACTGATCCATTTGACATGAACGTCTATTGGTGCATTTGACATGAAAAACCAAGGTTACCAGGTAACCAGGAAACCAAGTAACCAGGTTAGGAGGTAACCAAGGTTTGATATGACAGCAATATCAATGATACAGTTTTCTGTAGCATTAGATTCTGAATCCAAGCATTAGAAACCTCCAGTCAGTCTAAGTAAGCTAAAAAGTATTCTCTAGCTCTACTAAAAGGTGGGCTTAGGTGAGGGTCCTGAATACTTGATTGGAAACCTACACATTAAATAGCAGCTACAATGGCAGCATCTTTCTACATTGACTGCTTATGGAAACTAATCTTATCAACCTGCTTTCTCACAGGAATCACTGATAATCACAATGATATCAAAGCGTTAAGGAAGAAGCAAGCCAACTGCTGCAATTGAGTGTAAGAGCATCACTGAGGTGTGAATGGATGTCAGAGAATAAGAACAGAGACATAGATCAGCTCAGTCCCGCACCAAAGCACAGACTGCTGATGTAAAGTGCTATCACCAGCTGCACTGGACTGCTCAGCTTTGGGTCACTGGACTGAAGAACAAACAGCTGATGTCAAAGCTGTATGAGAGCTTCAGAGGTGGTTAGTTCATCTGGACAATGAACGGCTCTGACAAGAAAATCACCTGACACATTTTGCTACCCATTGTGCTCAGGTGCACAAGGATAAAAGAATACTATTGTTTCGCTGAAAGAAGTCTTATAGTATATATGAGCTTGCTAACAAGATAATGCATATATAAAAGCACAAAATGGATATAAAAAGGATAACACATTTATCTATATGCAAAAAAATGACCATTTATTACCAAATACTTCATTTAATGTCAAGAAATGTAGCTATTTTGGAGTAAGAAGTCCTAAAGGAATAGCCCAATATTTAATCCTTAGAGCATAGTTTTTAAAAACTTTAAAACATTTTTTTTTAGTTTTTAATTTATTTCCAGTTAATGATTTATTATTTTTTCCAGGAGAAATTTCAGAGGTGATTAGATTTAAGATAATTCACTTGCATAAGGAAGTAGAAAGTCAAAGTGAAAAAACAGGAGTTAATAAAAACCAGAGTTTAAGAAATGATTAAATGAGACAAATGGGACAGAAAATTCAACCAACTTCTAAGACTGAACTTTGGAGGAGTGAAAATATCCCTGCAGAGTTCTATGAAAAACTGAAAGCAAAATCTTCTGAAAAGAATGGAAGTTATAATAAGTAATAAAGAGTCGAGGGTGCACACACTAAATACTGAAAAAATGGCTTCTGTATTTTTCTGTTTTTTTACTTGATGCTGAAAAATGAAGATTGTAAAATAGCATAGTCCCTGACTTTTTCACAGTACTCTAAATACTGGCTTCTTTGAACTAATCCTTTAGTAAGTTACATATTGTGTTCAGTTCTACAGAAAACTTATGCAGAATAAAAGCATGTCTCCTTTAGTAAACGTTTTGTAACTGGGTTGTTTAACTAGGTGGTGGATTGAACTTTATTTTAGCGAGAGTCAGAAACTGTCTTGGCACTTTTATATACTTTGATTTGAATATGTTTACAAGTTCTGTGTTTCAGGGTACGCTCACATATTTCCCACTTGTCATTCGGTTCTAGTGTACATTTATGATAGCTGTTTACATTGGTGGATGCTTTTCTATTGTTTTGATGATTTTTCTGAAACGTGCTCTCAGAAATAAGTTCCTATATAGTAAATGGTTTTATTAATGTAATTGATCTCAATTAAAACCTGCTGTTGATTAAAGCATTTGTTGTAATGCTCTGGCCTTCACAGTACTGCATTTGGCGACATGGTTTATGTGTAGCCTACGCAAGAGATCACATCATTTTCCTTAAATGCCCTGCGAGCATTTTTATGGCAAGATTCTTAAGTGGAGTCTTTGTTCTTTCAGCTGCATCATGTGTTTCTTCAGCTAATATGATAGCATATGCCAGCACCCATGACCAGAAACTGCACGACCTGTCAGATCACTGGATTCCCAGACTGAGCAAAATGGTGGGACTGTTCTCCCAGAGAGTGGAAGAGAAGTTTCATTCAGACTGAAAACCAACCAAATTATAGTAAAATACAAAGCAGTGAGACAAGGACTGTTATTCATGTGTACAAAACATTCTTTATTCTTAAAGGGAGCTCATTTTCCTCAGATCTCATTTCAAGTGTGATGAGGAAGTATAACAGGGATTACAGGAAGAATCATTTTGCATAACAACATTTCCTGAAATAATGTGTCCTTTAGTCCAGTGGTTCTCAAACAGGTCCTCAAGGCCACTCAGACAGTCCACAGTTTTGCTCTATCCCTGTGGTTTGGGAGTTGGGGTCGGCCTGTCTCACAGTGCAGGATTTATGATCTAACACTGGATCTCCTGTCTCACTTTTTATCGGGTTAGACTGCCATGCTGATGTAGGCTGCACACCTTCTGAAGGGCAGGCTAAGTTCAGGATTCCGGATCATGAACAGCTCTTTGACCATTTAGGGAATGATGTCACTTTTTTTCTCACGACACTTCTGATGCAAATTGTGTTAAGAATATCACTTTCAGCAGGACAATCATTTTTAAAGGAGAACTCCATCGATTTTAAAAACGTCTGCTTAATTTTAAGGTTAAAAATTTCAACAAAATCATTCACAGTGGTTTGGTGTGAAATGCTTTGTTCTACAGAAACTTACAGAGTCAGATTTGTTCACAATGGTGGTGATAGGAACCAGACGTGTGAGGAGTCCAGTGCCTCTAAAAGGTCCCATACAGAAAGTTTACATGAGTAATAATTGTACAGTAAATTTGTGAGAAAGTTTTGGTCAAAAACGTATTTCAATCAACTTATTTTAATCCATTCATGGTGGAGGGATACATGAAGGGTATTCTAAGGCTTATTTTACCATCATCAATGTTACATAAAAACCCGACGAGTTGTGTAGGTTCACTGGTGATTTTGGACAGTAAATAAAATCACTATATTTGCATTGTGGACATCAGGACTCCTGGTTCCTATCATCACCACTCTAAAGAAATCTAAGTTTCTCTGCAAATGAACCATTTCACCTCAAACCAATCTGAATGACTTTGTTCCTCTCAACTACTGAACTATATAGAAATGTTGAAAAATCAGTGAAATTCCCCTTTAATGTTAAGAATGTAAAGCATTGGTATTCCAAAAAGCACTGATGTGCTGGCAGTGGAGATATTTTACTGTTATAAATGCTTTACTTTCTACATATTTACGTAGACCCCCCCTTTATGGAAAAGAGCCGCTCAAATAGTCATGTTTCACGTGATTGGCTGTTCGCCGTAAATGTCATGCTTTCATGCAGGTATGTATTCCTGCAGGCTGATCTGCACACAGCCCTGTCTGAACTTAACACTATTCTGTTCTACAATCCCTCAGTATCTGTTTATCATAATGATATGGTTATGTTGTACTACTTTTTAAATGATTTAGTGTAGTAGTGATGTGTTGTAAATGTTATAATTGCTTCAATAAAAAAAAACAAAAAACAACCAAACAAAAAGCATGCAGTACTACCCTACTCCTTCAATGTGCTCAAGCATGAGGATTAATCACTGTTTGAGAATCTAAACTTCGCTTAACAGAGAAAGTTGTTAACTGTCCTTGTGAAAGGAGTTACGTGCAGTTCCATTTGTTAAGCTGTGTGAAGCTGAAACTTAGTCAGGACGTCCATGTTAAACTTGCTTAGTGAGAAAAAGCCCTGAGGACTAGTTTGAGAACCAGTGGTTTAGACAGCATTTAAATCGAGTTTAGAGTTAAATCAGATTATTTTACTAGATGGTGAATTTAACTTTTCTTCATCTGAATGTAAACTGATCTTCAAATATTCTTACTATGCTTCATAGTGCACATACTCAATGAATTTTACTGTAATTCTATGATGACTGGTTGCTACATTTATAAATGTAACCAGTTTATTAGACCTGGGGGGTGTTTCACAAAGCAGGGTTTCTGAGTTAGCCAGACAAATAAGCCCAACGTTGAGGACTTTCCAACAGCAATGTCCCTCATATCTCTTCCTATTGGGCATGCTTAACTTTAGGCTTAACTTATCTGGCTAAACTGAGAAACCCTGCATTGTGAAACACCCTGAACAGCTAGAACACGTGCATATGGTGGCACCCTCTTCTATGAAGTCTTGGTCTCCTGGGGCATCATTTATAAAACATTCATCCACACAAATCTGATCTTAACCACACGTGTGTAGATGGCAATTTATAGAATGTAAAAACATTTTTTCAATAAAACTAATTGTAGGTAAAATCTTAAGAACAAAATTCAAATACATTTTACAAATGAGGCCCCTGGTCTTTACTTTTTGGTGCCACAATCAAATCTCTGTGTGCCATAGGATCACTTCAATGAGGACATCGAGTCTGCTCACCATTTTACGTTTGAGAATTTTATCAAAGGAAAAAAATGAAAGTGATCTCAGCAGTAAATTACACTGAACAGCAGTCACATTCTTTTGCATTCACTTCCCGCCATCAAGGTCACACTATAGCTGCATGGTACGACCCCTGTACAAAACATGAGTGGGCAAGTATACATTTCCCAGAATTCAACAATACAAGATAAAGGAATGACTAGGCTACTTGTCAGCTCAGGGGGAAAAATGCTAAAAACAAACTATAAAAGGCCTTTTCACCATAAGTAGCATTAACATAACTAAGTTTTCAACATGAGGACTGAAGACTGTCACAGTATATAAAGAACTTCAGGTCACAACAGGACACATTCTGTTTACACTCAACTGCAAGAACTTGCATTTATGGCAGTGTATGGTGTTAGCTAGGAGAGGAGGCATGAACTAATACAGAACTACAGTAAAAATAAAAATATGCTTGTGCCACAAACAAAGAAAGCAAGGTGCATGGTCACAAGTAAACATTGCTCATGACCAAAATGTAAATACGTAGCTCAGCTGAAGCCAACCACATTTGAACAATAAGGAGGGGGGAAAAAAAAACAAAAAAAAACAAAAAAACAGAAATTTGAAGAAATGCTAATTCATATCAAATTTAAAGGGGAGGTTCCAATGATGGCCTCTAAATATTTGCCCACATCAGAAACACAGAAACATCAAACTCAAGCAGAGATTAATGAAAATGACATCAAAACTAGAAATGTACAGAGAGCTTCTGATATTGAATGGTTTCTGCTAAAAACTGCCTTGGATGAGATTTTTCTGTTAGACTCTCTGAATTTCTTACCATCTAAAGACAGCTATTCCTTTAAACCTAATACTCCTATTTTATGCATATGTAAAATTCATTAAAATGAATATAGCACACTATAACATGAGATGAATCTTCAAAGGGGTGTAACTGCTTTTTGAGTGCAGTGACAAACTGACAGGTGATGCAGAGCATATTATACAAGATGTGTGCATTGCAGTGTAGTAGTTCATACTGAAATTCAGTTTTATTTATTATGATAGATGAATACAAAAGAACAGGTCTCTATTTTGTGAAGCATGTGGTGGCCTCCCATTCATATCCACTTTTAATACAGGTACGGGTTGGAATGGGCCAGCTTACAAAACTTCAACACCATCGGCAACGCAACAGAAACCATCCGCCATTCGTGTTTTTATTCAGAGTCTCGTCTTAATGTTTAATTCTTGTTAAAACCAAAGAAAAAAGGAAAGACGGTGCTTGATTGCGCTTGTTTCTAAAAAGAAAATAAAGAAAAATGTTTTGCGACAAACTTCTCCACAGGTCCATTTCCTGAATCAGTTTGTCATCTGCTCATTTCTCGAGTCTGTCTCACATCATTATCACTCAATGACCCATTTTCTCAAAATGAAATACTTTGAGCAGTGGAAATGTGTGCAATAGAGAGAGCATAAGATGATAAACACATGGTGATGAAGAGGTTTTTTTCCTTTTTTTGGTGTTTGTGTCTGTGTATGTTTGGGAAAGGGGACATTAGGGGGTGGGTGACATGTGGATGCCTCCTGTCCATTCTTATCGGTCCATCTCATCCAGCAGGGGTGTGGCATCTCCAGCAATGGACATGGGCGTGCTCTCAATCATGGGGCTGGGTGATGGGCGGGGCGTCATTCGAGGGGTCTTCTGTCTCCGTCTCTCTGCCTCCTTCTCCTGCAGCCACTGCTCAGCCATTTTACCCCAATCCACAGCGGTGTGGGTGCTTGTTCTAAAGAACAAACAGTTCAGAGGGGAAAGAAAAAAAAAAAGAAAAAAAAAAAGCTTTGAGTTGAGGCAACCAACCAAACAAAATACTCTACAGCATTTATATCTATAATAATACAAGTAGTTATCAGTACGACAAATTGAAGTGGGGCCAATATGGGTTCTATTATCTGGTTGCACCATAAAAGAAGGAAATCTACAAAGCAGGAGGTATGCTGGAGGTAGCTCCGAGCGCTCCTTTGCCTGGTGCTGTGGTGTACACTCACTTAGGCTGTGGTGTCCGAACCCTGGATGAGGATGAGGACGGCGTGGAAGAAGGGTGCTGGTGGTGTCCGTGGGAGGACTGCGGCGTGCTGCTAGTATACTGTGGTGTGGTCATAGCCTGCTGCTGGCCTGGGGTGGTGTACGAGTAGCTTGGCGTCATCATAGGCGTGGCCATAGGCTGCTGCGGTGTGGCAAACACCTGCAGGTCAACAAAAGGAAAAATAGTTTAGTTCAAATACAGTAAGATATGAGGAACAGTCCTTATTATACTGCACTTTATTAAGATTGTATGCTCAAGTGTGATCAAGCAAACATTGGTTCAGGATGCGATTCCCTTACGTGATAAGCGCTGCTACTGCCTCCTCCTCCCGCACTGCTGCCTCCACTATATCCATACTGGCTGGAGGCCCACTGGGCTGGAGTAGTGTTGGGATTCTGGCCCTGCCCCGTTACTGCTGCAATGGCGTTAAACATCTGGGACGTCATGTTCCTGGGCAGAGAGTTGACTGCTCGAGTCAAATCTGAATGAAACAGAGAGAAGGGAAAACTGTTTAAATCAAGTAAACAGATCAGAGAAAGAATTTAAAAAGGAAGTTTTTTGGGTGCAGAACTGACCTGCAATGTTAATATTGGCTGGAGTTGCATTCACAGACGCCGGTGTTCGTGTTCTGCTACTGCTGCTAGGCGTAACGCCTTTAGACACAGAAAAAAAAAAGAAAGTAAAAAAAAGGAAAATAGAATTACGCAAAAGCACAACTGCGTACTTAACATTAAGGGTATTATAATTCCACTAGATGCTGAAGACTGGGTAGGTAAAATTTTAAGTGAACTAGGAATACCAGTCCTTCTGCAGTTTTTACATACCTGGCACAGGCTCCTGGTAATGGTCCTTAAACCAGCGGAAGAGTCCATTGACTGTGGGGAATATCTGGGAGCGGTACCTGAAACCATCTGGAGTGATGGTGACATACTCGATCCTGCAGAGACAAGACAAAGTAGTCATATAAACGGATTTTAAAATGTATTATGGATGTGCTATGGAGACTAAATTTACTGGTAATGAAAATAGGAGATAGTGATTTAAAAACACTCTGTTTCTTTCACTCTCCAGTGCACATCTACATTCAAACGGTCTGAGAAGCAGAGTGAAAATGTTCGCTGTGTGGAACTATTTGCTGGGTTCTATGATAGACAACAAGGGGCACAACCCCAAGAATATCTCCACTATGTGCAAGATACCATGGGAAAACAATTTCCTGCTCTACATGCAGGCCACATGTAGCCTACGGTTTTGAAATGAAGGAAAAAAAAATCTTAAATGAAAGTACAAAGTATAACTACTGAAAAACAACAGAGATCATTGCCTTGGATGACCAACTGTTCTCTGTTGAGGAGGATGCTGGATTTCATGGTGCACTCAGTAGCCGACAGACTATAATACCTGTAATAAAAGTCTATTTTATGTAAATTATTTTTGTCAGTTATCAGTTTCATTTTTGTATGTTTTGAATTTCAGTTTGGGTTCATCAATAAAATACATGTAGTTCCCATTGCAAAAGTCAGCAGTATCTAACAGAAAAGTACCTTGGCTTCCCTCTAGGCTGGTATCCCAGCAGGAACTTTCCTGGCAGATCTCTGCAGGCTGACACAAAGTAGGGGATGAATGTTGGCTTCTCTTTCTTGGTCCTTATTAGGAGCTCCTCCATTTTCTTTAAAACAAGACAAAGATGCATGTAAATAAGGCTTCTGATGAAAAGAACACAGCATAATGCATAAAAAAGACAGAAAGCAGAAGATATCGCACCTTCCTGTCACCACCATTGCATTCCTGGAAGTATTTGTGGCCGAGCAAATCCCGAGCAAAAGCTGCCATGGGCTGCACATAACGGGCTGTGATTTCATCCAAATCCTCAAACTCCTGGCCACGGATGAATGAAAAATCAAAGAATTTCTGTTAAACACCGATTCTACATCAAGCACAGTAATACTAAAAGTTATGATCTCTTGGCTGCCCGAAAGTAGCTACATTGTCTCTCGTATAACAAATGGTGTGTAAAATTAAAAACTCCCATGCTGATTGACAGGATATAGGAGATCTACTACAGATCACAGAGAAATTTATCTACACAAACAGCAAAAACAAAAACAAAACCAACAAAAGGACTCTGTCTGAGCACTCACTTCATTGTTGATCCACAGTGTGTGCCCCAGACTGAAAGCATTCTCTTTTCCCTCTTCCCGGACGTCCACGTGCTGGTAGATTCCATCTGCTACCTTCCAGGTGACAGTCAGATGGTTCTCTCCCTTACTACTAGGCCGGATCACCACATCACCCTGATCCATTGTTTCCATCATCTTCTCAGCCTGTTTGAAGTTGATGTTGTGGAACGATGGATGGGCAATGACTCTCTTGATATAAGCTATGAGGAAAAAATACAGGCACAACACAAAACATTCATGAGAGATATTCGCATCACCAAACAATCTGTATCTGAGTCCAAGGGAAGCCCTAGCAACAATGCAGTGAGATCAGAGCATAGCAAGCTTTTTCATGTAATTTACATGTAATACAAAGATCTGAGGTTAGTGTACTGACTGGTTCTCTGCTGTTTCTTCTTCTGTTCCTCATCGTGTTTGACATCCTCAGCTTCAGCATCAAAGTCATAGTAGGTATCCTTGGGAAGCTTCCACTCATTGTTCTTGTCAGCCAAGTCAGATGTCCTACAGGTGAGATCCACGTTGAATTTCTCAATGTCGATCTTCATGATACGACAATGCACAGTCATGCCAACCTAGAAAACAGATTAAGTTATGACAAGGATGCCCAAATGCAGAACAATGATACAGAACCATAAATATGCTACTCTGCCTCTAGATACCCTGAAGTACCCTCCTGACTTCATAAACCCTGCAGTCACGAATAGTAAAAAAATTTAAATAATGAGAAACATTTGTCTACTTTTAAATCTGAGAAAATAATAAACTCTTAATTCTGCACAAAGACAACCTTACCTTTACCCTCTCTTCAGGGTGCTTAACCACCTTGTCTGAAAGGAACTTGGTAGGGATGAAACCCATGACACCATTGTCCAAACGAGATCGCACACCAATAGCTTGGCCAGGACAGGAGCCGCTGTCAAAGTGGTTCCAAACCTGAAAAGAAAACCATAACCATTTTGCGGGACCCACATAGCCTGATGTGGCTAACAAAAAGGAGCCTCATTTCAGAGACTGTTAAAGAAAAGACAATGTGTCTCACCTCGCTCAGTTCAGGGAAGTTGTCCTGCTGACAGAAAGGACATTGCCACAGTCCAGTCTCATCATTACGAATTGCTTGGTCATAACTCTCCCCCTGTGGCCTTCTGTGAGCGATGCCCGTTACAACACTGGTTATCAGCTTACCTACAAGGGGAAGGAGGAAAAAAACTCTAAGCAAAAATATTTTTAAATTAAAAATTAGTAATGACCACTTGAAATATGCTGCACTAAAATAAGATGTTTCTGTTTAATGCAAGAACACCAATGTACTATTGGATCTATTGGATGAAGCACAGTGCCTACCAATGTAGAAGGTCTCTGGAGTTTCTTTGGTAAGCATGTTAAAGACTTCCTCTGTGTTGGGTGGTCTGTATGGGGCTCGGAGGTCTTTATACCTACAGCTGAGCTCTGCACGAATGTCATACAGTGTGATTCCTTTGTTGCCATAACCCTGGTGTGATACAAAAACACAAAGATGGGGTGTGAAAAGTTAGAAATGCTTCTTTTACATGCAAGAGACAAGTCCACAATAGAAATCTAGATACGCAAATTAAAAACCTTATGACCATAAGCCTTTGAGAAAAATCATGTCTTTTACGGAATAGTGAAGTTCTGTCTCACAGAACTGGAATTGTGAGGACGGACATTTAAATAAAATCATCGACTGCTGCCGTAGTCTAGAAAATGCAGACTATACTCAAGAATGGATGGATATATTATGTTACAGTGAGTGACTCACCTGTCTCTCCAGCTCCTCAGCGAAAGCATCCAGGTCCAAGTCTTTCAGCCTCTCTGGGTTCTCCAGGATCTCCTCTAACGCTCCAGCAGGGTTAGCATCCTCTGCTGACTCATCATACTCCAGAGCATCCACTGCCATTTTACGTGCCCATTCATAAGTCTCAGGATGCACACGAGAACCATCTAGAACCTCGATGTAGGAGTCAGTGCTACAGTGTGATAAAACAGGTGATTTTTATTTATCAACCAATGGAATGCCAGGTGAACAAGCAAGGGCAAAGCCACTTAAATATATGACTACGTACCTGTCTCCGAGAGAAGCAGTGTCAATCTTGATAAAGCCAGCACAGTTGATGAACACTTTGGGTCCCATATGGCACATGGTGACCAACTGTGTTCGATTTTCCAGACGAGTATTGTTCTGTTTCAGAATCTAATTGAAAATGTGGAGACGCGTCAACTGGACCTCAATTGACCCAATTTTTTAAGCCAGTGAATCAAAGAATTAGTCCATGTCTTGCAGCACACACTCTGTGCAAGATACAGAAGAGCTGCTTACCTTGAGCAGATGTGAACCTTTCCTTGGTCCCAAGCCGCACACGTACTGGACCAGGCTCTGTGTATAAGGATGAGCAATGGCTCGATTCACATCCACACCAACCTCATTCACCCGGTTAATGAACTCACAGTACAGAGCACTCAGCAATTCCTCCTTTACCACATGTTCCTGGAGAAAATCAGAGTATACAAAAATCAATTAAAAAAAAAACAAAAAAACAACAGAAACGAAAAGATTTACTATAATTCCTAGAACAGCACAAATATACATAAATGCTTTTACAAAATAAAGTAAAAAGGGATGCACCAAAATTTCAGCAACTAATATTCCAGCCAAAAACAGTCAAAAGCGCCACTTCTGGTTTTTCAGCTGAAAAAGGGAAAAAAGGTAGAACATTGTGGGGGAAAAAACTAAAGATTAAACAGGATTTAAGTTTCTTTAATAGATATCAAAATGTCAAAATCTAACACTTAACAAATCATTTGAAGGATGATGAAAATGAGAATCTGTTTAAAAACGCTCCGGTGTTGGTTGGCATAGAGGCGTCTGGGCAGCAGCATATTAACAGTGGGGAACTGTTCGATATTTTGCGAGTTCTATGTGGAACATTGGTCAACACTGAATCACTGTTTATCCCAAGATTCAAAACAGGGCACAATGCTCAAGAACCTCCCTACTTTTAGTTTTCAGTTTCAGTTTTGGCAGGTGTGTCTTAATTTTCGGTTTCGGCTAGGAATTTTTATTTCAGTGCATCACTACACAGTAATTTTAAAAAAGGTATGTAAATAGTGTTAATCTAAGCAGTATACACAAAAAGCTCTGGTGAGGGTACAGTACCTGTAGTGGATGCAGTTTGAGGCACAGGATGTCCTCATCGCTGCTGCACACTTGGGCAAACTCCACCAGGGGATCCTGAATCTTACGGGCTACAGACACAGCCTGACGAAGAAGGGGAGGGTAGTCCCTGAAGTCCGTCTGTGAGAAAGAAACAACACTTGCTACAGTGAGGAGCTCTGACAGTGAGCAACTGTTAACATCACAGGATTTTGATATGCATCTTAAAAGGTTTAAATGACTTAAGCATTTGCCTACAGCCTTGATGAAAATATAGAAGCTCATCATACTACAGTGAGTCACCTCAGACTTTTTGCTGTTCATGTACAGTGTAGCCAACTCGTTGTCCACAAGCTCAACTCCCACTGCAGGCAGAGAGGAATCCTGCTCCAGCTCAGCAACTGTACGCTTGATGTCCTCCATCAGCATGTGAGCATCCCTGGAGAGAAAAAAAGGAGAGAGAACACAACATCAGCATACAGTGGTTGCTAAAAGCAGGTTAAACCTAAAACACACCCAAGAAATTACAAAAACAAAAAATCAAAAACATGGAGTTATTGACAAACTGATTAAACTCTCTCATGCGCAATGAGACAGTGATGTAATTACATTACCAGGAATGTAGAATTAGAGGTTCTCCCGCACGCAAAGGGCGTGCACAACCACTCTGTTGTTCAGCCAACTACAAAACACACCTACAACTACTAGTAAAAATACTTCAAACATAATAACGTAATGGCTACTATCACAACAAACCGGCATCACCTTAAGGATCTTTTTAACGAATTAAACAAATGAATTCATTTTTGTAGGTCTGTAAAAAGTTGTTCATGGAATACTGATTCTTTTTATAACAGCCTCAAAATGCAGCTGTGATGGCATTAGATTTCAGTCAGGTGCCATAATGTCATGAACATCAAGCATTTGATTTACAAACTGTCAAAAACAACTCTGTACTTCTTTCTCTCAGGAACATAATAGGTACTGTGACAATATACACAGGCAGGACAAAGAGAAAAATCTTGCGTACAAAACAACCCTATTTCCTTCCCAAACCACTTTTATATCTGAGGTCAAGGCATCAATGGTAAATTTGTGTTTGAGGTTTTTCAATGCTCATGCTCAACACTGATGCTGTCTCTTCCATATGCACAGACACTTTGCATTAGGCCAAGGAGGTATGCTTGAAATTGTCATGTCAGATTATACAATATTTATGAATTGGGTTCACCAGTAGTGATGAGTTTGTTAATGCTAGCTAGTTAAATGCTTAGCAAATTTCTGGCAAGCTATATTGATAATTTAGCTAGTATTAGCTAGCTAGTGAAGTCTAGTTCAATCTGGCCTAATGACAGCAACCAGTGTTCTTTAACCCAAATCCCCCAAAAAACCCAAAGAAGGGGGCTTGCTAAAAAGAATGTGTCACAAGCATTGCTCTCTAATGCGTAAAGCAGCAGAAAACAAACTAAGTTACACAAAATCAATATGCTATTGCAAGCCAATGAGTATTGGCTTAAATAACAAGTCTTCACACAAAGCAAAAAACTTACCGATTTTCACCAGCCACAGCCACAACATGTGGTTTCTTACTAAGAAGAAATTTCTTCAGGTTTTCAATGTCTTGAAGCTGAGAAAAAAAAAAATAACAGTAATTGATGCATTTTTTAAAATAATATCAAGTAAAAGCTCTAGGTAGAGAAAAGGACTGCTTTTGGAGAAATTCAGCATTTTTTGCTTGAAAAACCTTTTTCTCTCGTTCTTCCTCTCTCCATGCATTCCTCCTCTTTAAGAAATAAGGAAGCCGGAGGAAATCCACAACCTCTCCTTCACCATTGATGAGCGCACAGAACACAGGAGTGTCTCTATAAGAAAACAGACACAGACAAACTCAAACGTATAAGAAACAAAACATGAAATGCATAGCTGTCTGAGGTGTTAGTGGCAAGAGCAGAACCTGAACAACAGTAGAACTGAACCATGTTTGTTTGGAGTGTTGGCTGGTGGCTTTAAGTAGATCGTACCTGCCAGAGGCGAAGGCCACTCCCAGCACACGGATGCCCTTGCCTTGAGTCTCATCCATCAGGTCATCATCCTCTTCTATCTGTTGGTCTGGACGATACGGCGCAACCTTCAGCCAGTTATACAGTTTCCTGCAGCAAGACTGATAAAGCAGAATGAGAAAATTAGAAATCAACAACTACTTCAATGTGGTTGTGAAGTACAGATAAAACGAAAAACAAATATACTTTAACCTAACCTTGACTATGTTCTCCTTGGCCTCAGCAATGAGCTTATTCTTTAGCTCCTTGGCCATCTGAGGATAGAGGAACTGCTGGAGGGCACGCTCTATGGCCAACATTCGCTGCTTGTTCCACTCCTGCACTTGGTGACTGAACTCGTCTCTGTAGTAGAACTGCTTGATCTCGTCAAAGTAGGTCTGGTCACCCCCATACCTGCAAATGCAACAGAAACAAAAATATTCATGGACTAAGGGAAGTATAAAACAATTTTTTTTATTACCTACAGCACTACCAATTACAACTGAACCTGAAGTAATCTGGTCTTATCAAACCACTGTCTATGGCTTAGAGACGAAACAGATAGCTTGGTAAGATAGTTTTACCCTTTAACTCCAACCAGGTCAATGCAGATGTCTATAGTGAGTAGGCCTTCATCCTCTGCCAAGCACATCTTCAAGAACTGGTCTCCACTCAGCTCCTTCACAGGCTTGTTCTTTAAGTACTTGAATGAATATGCATAGTGTGCCTCGTCAACGTCCTAGGACACAGAAAAACAATTTATTAAGGTACTAAAAAAGACATATTTGGGCATAACTAAACGTAGCTCATACACCTACTAAGAAATCAGTGAGAACAAGATAAACACAAGCAGAGTCTATTAAAACTACTAATAGCCTGGCAAAAGCACAAAACGCTACTCAAAACTAACATCTAGCAGGAGGTTGTAATGGGAATGAAAAGTTGCTTTTTTGCTGATACCCTTTCCTTGATGACATGCATAGGGCAAAGTAGAATAAAATGTAAAATTAGTAGATGATTTATTTAAAAAAAATAAAAACAAAAACAACAACAACAACAACAACAACAACAACAAGCAAATAAATAAAGGCCAAAGAGTGAATCTCAACAGATTATTTACAAAAGCTTGCACATTAACTATTAGGCATAAATTTAGGCTAACGTATAAAGGCATCTGGGGGCACACACCTTCTTGCCCTTCTTAGTGGGCTTAATGTTGATTTTGGCCCTTTCCTGGAAGGTTTGTCTCAGCACATGCCTGACAAGAGGTTCACGGGCAATCTGCATGGCAACCATGTAGCGTGTGCCTTCCAAGACAGCTTCTGGTGTGTTAAACTGGCTGTGAACACAATAAAGGGAAAGAAAAAGCAGAAGAAAATGTCGGGGGGGGGACAAAAAAAACAAACACCACACACACAATAGCATTAAGCCTAAAAATCCCACCACCATAACCAAAAAGATGGAGTTGTTAGTCAAGGAGATACTGCTAGATTAACTGAAGTAACCAAGGACAAAGATTTACTAGAACAAATTCTACTGTGTGGTCGGTTACCTGCATACATAGTCCTTTGCCAGCTCTAAAGGCTCTGCAGGGAACTGTTCGGTCTCGTGTCTCTGGTAACTGTCACGCAAGTTTTCACCAAATTGCTCAGGAGTGAGACCAAACTTCTTGGCCAGTCCATCTGTTAAAAGTAATGCTTGTAAATGTCAAATGGACAAAAAGAAGCTGCAAGATTCAAAACTATTTGTAGCAAGACAGATGGTAAAACTTCTTAAAGAAGTTCCAGACTTTCAGGTCTACACTGAGCAGGAGCATGAGGCTTCAGGCTTTCATTAAGGCAATGTTGCTCCCTGTTAACAGAAGTTACATCAGTATAGTGACACACCAAGGCAAGCACTCTGGCAGATGCTGTACATGTCTCTGCGGGAGGCTTGTTTAAGATCTGGTCCCTTTTGCTCCTCTTCCTCCTCCTCCTCCTCTTCTTCCACCTCAGCTTCTTCACCTAGCAGAACAAAACAACATAGTATTAGAACTTCTGAATATTCTAGTAAACAAAACAACAAAGTAGAACAATCTAAAAATTCTAGTCAATAAAACCTAATCCATAAAAAGAATGGCTGTACCGTCTTCCTCCGACACCTCCTTGATCTTCTTCAGTTTCTTCTTGGTGGCTTTGGCTGCATTCTGCATCCTGGGGATGTCTCGTCCATAGTAAAGCAGAAAGTGGTTGTAGACGTCACTGAGCTCATCCATAGACTGGACATCTTTCAGCCTGCCACAGTAAACATCACATTTAATTGAGTATCAGTACTCTGTTGTTTGGTGGTCTGATACAGCAAAACTAATACTAAGATGCCACATATCTTTTTAAGATTAACTACTTAAGGCAGGGAGGTGTATGCAATGTTTCGTAACTACAGAATCATGCCAGGTTGGGATACTTTAAATAAAAAGGCACTTAAGAACTTATAACCTGCAGAAAGCCTGTACTGAAAATGTGTTCTGTGCGAAGAAATGCTTATTGGATCATTTGTGCTGTGCAGTGAGCCATACTACTAGAAAACTGTATGTTCCATCTGGAAGCTAATGTTTCAAAGCACCAAACTGGCAGACATGTACAACTCTTGCCCATTTCCAGTTTTGTTACGTCTCTTAAAATACCTCCTACAACGTATCTATAAGCACGTAGTACACTTTTTTTTTATTTAAGGATCACAGAAACAGAACAATTTAAGTATTCCAGAATCCTCGACAGTTTATTATATCACAAGCAGGCATGCTTGATCAGGAGTGTCCCACTTTCTGTATAGGACCATGAAAAATCTTTGCTGTGGGCAGATCCCTACCTTTCCATGTCAGCAGTGTCCAAAGGACGAACAGCATCAGCCAGTGGTTTATCAGGGTCAGCTGAGATCTGCTCAAACTGATATGACTGCATCCTCTGGAAAAGACGTGTCAGGTTCTGCTTACGTGTTTTCAGCTGGGTCCACTGGGAGGGAAAAGAAGAGGCACAAATGGACACAGCAGGATTATTTGTTAGCAAGTGAAGTATGTGAATGGCATGAATGATAAAATGAATGGTATAATATGAGAAACTGAGTTGGTTGTACTTACCTTCTCATCCCACTGCCACACCTTCCACAGATCGTTAATGTTGAGCTCTGGTTCCACATACTCCTTCCTGTAGAATGCAATGAACGGAACCTGGAAGATGAAGCAACCAAAGTTGAATTCACACCATTCGCCCCAGTAGCCGCTGCCCTACCATAAAACATAACTAAAAGAACTCTCCTATCTCATCTTTTTCATGTTAGATGTTTAGATGTTCAAATGTTACCTCAAAGTGTTGGTTCCTCATGAAGTTAAGGGCCTCTTTGATCTTTGCAATGGTACTGGGGCCTCTCCTGCTAAAGTTAGTGGTGGTCCCACGATCCAGGTAGTCTGCGCTTTCCTAGTCCAAAAGGAAACAAGAGAAAGGTTAAATACATACAGAAACAGCACAAATGGGATCATAGCAGATACCCATGTTTCCTTGACAAACTTTATAACACCTGCATGGAGATGGTTGGGGTGGAGAACGCATTTCTATAGATCCATTCAGCCTCTTCTTCCAGTTCATCATCCTCAGCAGGTTTCACAGGTATAGCACGTAACTAGAAAATCACAGACGACAAGAACAGTTAAAGGACACAAACACTTCTCAGACACAACCAACATAAGCTAACGATGCAACTCATACTCGTGCTAGGTTTTATTACACACCTGGAATCTCTCTGGCATGTCTGTGGAACGTATTTCATTGTCCTGGTCAGTCATGTGGCTGCTCTCTAGCTCACTGGGCTCGTAGATTTCAAAGATGCTGCGGCGGCCCACTCTCCTCTTGGTCTGCTTCTTTGGTCGATCCCATGCTTCATCATCCTGGTCCTCCTCCTCCTCCTCAGCATGATCATATGCCTCAGTGTCAAATTCAGCAAAGTCGAAGTCGCCACCAAAAATCTCCTGAGCTTCTTGTAAAGCACTACAAGGCAAAAGGTCAAAGGAGATCAAAAACGGGTTACAGTACTGAAACGCAACTGTGCTAGACCTTTACTTCTCCTTTTTAAATAACTGTAGGCAATGCAGGAAATTAAATCAGCCGTTCAAACATTAAGATACATCACTACTCCAGCTCTGGCTGCTCCTAAACACTACTCACAAAAGAAATCAACATAAAAAAATTAAGGGACAACATCAACACAAACAAATCTTTTCTTTCCAAGTCTAAACAGGAACTCGACTTCACACAATACTTAGCTTATATAATTTTGGTTCTTAATCAGCAATAATTATGTTGTTTCATAACACATCTAACCACTACCGTGAAACACACAGTGACGGCTGGATTTTGTGAACAGAATTATTGAGAAAGTTAGGACCATGAAAGTTAACACACTAAAAACACCAATCCGTTCAGCTACTTGTGCGCCACATGTTGCTATAATAGAATCACAGACTGTAACCCAATGTCCAAACAGCTTTTACATAGCTTTTATATCTTTGACAGATTAGGCTGGGCAGATACATCAACAAGCAGCAAACCTACAAAAGTAAAAAGCTACAGTTCCCCTTGAGAGCATCTACCGTAATAAAAATCCACAAGCTGTATGAATCAGAGTGAAAGGACTACCATTATGGAGTTGGAAGCACTGTCTGTATATATGGAACACATACGCTCATTGGTTAGAACATGCAGCCACTGTAGCTCTCACTGAACACAGGTGATAAACTTGAAACCATGTGCTGTCTATGGAAATCACTGATTTTCATGTAAGTGAACCCTGTACTCACATTAGAAAAGTATTGTTGTTGAATTACTGAACTTAAACACATTCTAATGAAACGTTTCCCACTTATGTAGACACAAAAAAATAATTAAATGGGGAAAAAAAATCTTAATGGTCAAATTTGTGCAAAAATGTGCGATCAAACCACAAGTAACTATAAAATAGCGTGATCAATGACAAATGCTTCACCATTTGACAGCCTGAGTTCAAAAACACGAACCTTGCAACTTTAATGCTGAGTTTACTCTAGCTTGTAATACCAGACAAAGAAACTGGACTGCTTGTATGAGAATGTGAATCTGAATGTAAGCAGCATGTTTTTATAAACATATAAATACATGACAACTTACGCATCAGTGTATCCAGTAAATTTCTTCCCCTTCTTTTTCGTAATGGGCTGTCCATCATCATCCACAATGAAATCATCTATGTCTGTAGAGATCAAACCGAAATGCCTGTCAAATACACCTTATACTGTGAACATCTCAGTATTTGGGATCCTGTGTAATCAGTAATTTGGGATCCTGTGTAATCAGTAATCTGATCCTTGTGCTTTAACTTTGAGCACCAGCACAAACTTTGTGTTTTCATAATTAAGATACTAGTCTGCCAATTAATATTACAACAACATTAGTTTATTTTAATATGAGCATCATGTGACATACTGGCCAAATGTTTTGTTTTTTTGCAAACATTTTTTAAAAGGACTTTTATAGTGTGCTTAATATTAACTTATGATAAAACGTGACTGACTTCCCTAATGACTTAACGACAAGTTACATCGATAACACCACTTCATTTTTAAATGTATACAATAGTATGCATTCTGAACTTGTTATCTGTTATTTTTTGTGGAATACTTATGAGAAATAACCATTTTACAGTGTTACAAATACATAATCATTCTCTACTTTTCTCACAGTTTTGAATGTGCCGTTTTTTTGCCAGCAGTGGTTTAAAGCCAGAAGCAGTGCATGTGGTCAGTAAGCCAGAACATATGTGATACTTTTGTCTTCCATGAAAATACACCTAGATCAGCTCTGTCAATGCCTCAGACAGCCCTATAATGTATAAACAACAAAACAGCCTTTGAAAGTCATGAAGCGTAGTTTGAAAGTCCCATCTTTCCTACCTGATTCCTCATCCTCCTCCTCTTCTTCGTCATCTCCTGGACGGCGCCGTTCTACAGCTTCTCCTTCTTCTCCCTCTCCATCACCATCTCCAGTAAAGATCTCATCTGCAATTAGGTCTTTTTCATCATCTTCACCTTCATCGTCCATCGTTTTCACTCGTGAGTACTTCTTTTTCTATATTGGTAGAACAAGTAATGACTTTGAATTATCTTGTCACATAAACCAATATGATGCTCATTAAGCCATTGTGATTAAAAACTGCTTATCCAAACAAAGTATCAAAACATATTACTTTCATATGTCTGCATTATTAAAAGTGATCGTAAGGCAAGTCTTGTGGAGCACAGTGGAAATTAGGCTTTAGTTGACTTACCCTCCTCTTTACTTTGACCCCCAAGTTCTCTTCAATAAGGTCCAGATCATCATCATCTAAGCCATCATCAAAAACTAGGAGAGACAGACACAAAGATCTATCTTGCGATCCAGTAAAAGCCTGAAGATGACCACTTCTCTGTTTTACAATTCACTGTCTTCATGGGAGTTGCATTTCATTTCAAGCCTCAGAATCAACAAATGAACCACTGACTAGGAGGATTTGAGCCATTGTGAGGTAAAAATAATACTGGTCTTTTTGTGATATTTTCCCTGCTTATTTGAAATCAATAAATCCTCCAGAATTCTAATGGTTACTTACCACGCTTTCTGCGCCGGCGACGGACCTCCTCTCCAGAGTCGCTGTCTCCTCCTGCACTTTTGTTTTCCTCCTCCTCCTCTTCCTCTCCCTCTTCCTCTCCTTCATCACTGCCATCATCAATGAGCCCTCTCAGGTTTCCATGCTCATCCTGATCTTCTGTGTTCTCCTCTTCTTCTTCTAAAGACAAAATTAACAGAGATTCACAAATACTTAAACATACACATTCTGCTGCGGCCAGTGCTTCAACTTCCCATATAACGTTAATTAAATGCAAAACAGACGTTTAACCCAAGTCCTTACCATCTTCATCATCCTCCATAAACCTCTGTGTCTTCTTGGGTTTCAGGTCCTTCTCCTCAAACTCCTCCTCAGACTCCTCAGCCTCACTTTCAATGAAGTCAGACATGTTTGCAAGGGCTACTGAAACACACAAGTAAAAAAATTAAGATTATGTGACCACTTCAATTAGCAGGTTGTCTATACATTGCAACCAATCTAAGCTTTTAATCTGAAAGCGTTTTAGATTCTCATATCATGAAAAAAGTCTATCTAGGCTTAACATCCTAGCTCAGTAAAATTCCTGGACACTCGATCAGTCACTTGATTTTTCATTAAACGCAGTGGATGGGTAGCTATGCTCACAATGCAATCTGAGGCAGACAGATGTCAGATCAGCTACAAAGCCTAATCTTATCAGTTGTCGCATGAGTTCTGCCTAGTGCCTAAACTTCGCCAATGGTGCACCTTTTCCTAACAACAATCTTAATTTTTTGCAGGTTTTTATTTTTCTACACCATCTGAGCTCAGCAGCTGCCCTTTGCATTGTGTGATGATTTCATGATGAACAGACCAATAGAAATTCTCCAAAATCACTTTCAATAAAACCTCTTTTCATTAACTTACATTGAAATTAAGAACGTTTTTTCCCTATCCTGTGAAAATACTACTTTGGAGTCATTTGTTTTGCTTTGCAGCGAAGATATGAAAATTCTTGGATTCCTGGACATTTTGTGGAATTACTTTTTTACCTAGACAGACCACCATAAACGTGGAGAATCCAGGGAAATCCTGAACAGGTGGTAACCCTATGTCTAACCAACATCAATGTCCTGATAACGGCTTATCATTAGACCCCTGAAAACAGGGACTCCAATCAGGGTGCAAATGCAGACAATTACATGCATTGTGAGCACAGCTACCCATCCAAATCAAGCCATCAAAGACGGCGAATGCAGGCACATTTTGTACCAGATGCAGCACTTCATGTGATAACATTACCACTATGGCAGACCAGAACCGACTGGAGCTGAACAGGGTTTAGCTAAACAGGGCACCAATGTTAGCTGACTACCTAAACAATAATCGGTTCTTCTCTACCAGATGCTATTTAGAATAATAATGCATAGGTTAAACATTCCAGTGTCTCAAATAACACCGCGTGGAATAAAGTAATACTTAAGATTTTTTTGTTGCTGGACGTAAGTTGGCTGCTTGCTAACGTACAGCTAGCTAGCTAGCTGAAGCTACCCACACTGATGTTAGGTAATAAGCTAGCTCAGTATTTCGAAAGAAAACAGTAAAGGCGCATACAAAAACCAACATTTAAACCCAGCTGGCTATTGAAGCAGACGTTTTACACCCGACTGGGGTTAATCTGATAACAGTACAAGCTTCCCACAGTAAAAGGACAGCGGAGGGAAAACGTTACCGAGTGAGCTTTGCTGAAAACAAGGCCTTCAGCAGCACGGCTAACCAAGTTAGCTGATCAAAGCTAAAAACGCACATTTAGTGTATAAACTAACACTTTCCCCGTCTCGGGTTATTTTCAAAGACAACTAGACAATACACTTACGTTCCCCTGCGATGCCGCTGGTTTAAAATCTTCGAAAATACTGACAGGGATGAAGAAACGGTACGTTTGGAGCAGCTAATAACAAAAATGGCTGAGAGAACGCAGCGTGATTTTGATTCCGGTATGGAATTAAGTAACGTCCGGTCAGCAGTGACAGCTCTGGAGCAGACCCGTGATTTTGAGTAGTTTACGGTGAGGGCAGGCTAATGACAGTCCAAACGGTAGTGATTAAATTATAGCTGCATCAAGCAGTATCAAAGGCAACCGAAATTTAACGACGAAGCGAAGAGAGTGTGGAAGGAACATGTTCCTGTTTACCGATTCTCCAAACCACGGGTGGGCGCTTTACTCCAGCTGCGTGTTTCTTCTTCACTCTTCTCTGTTAACGTAGTCCTGCGTTACTGTCTGGTATTATGGCAGCGGCTAACTCTGTTCTTTCTTTGGCCTCTTTGTGCCTTTCGGTTTTATTGTCATGTATGTGTAACTTCTCTTTGGGATCAGAAATAAGTTTTGTCACTTGTGGTTCGGTCGTCAAGCTGCTTAACGTGAAGCACAACGTAAGACTACATTCTCACGATGTCCGGTATGGCTCCGGTGAGTAACGCTCAGCTCGGCTTTGGTCCCAAAGAGCTGGTCTGTCGAGTTTCTAGTTCAGTCCTGTCCGGATACGAACACTCAAAACTTTAACTCTGATTTGGAATCGGACTTGGAATCGGTGTCTTTCCTACTAGCTGAATACACAGATATCACTTGCTTTCTCCTGCACTGATAAAAAAGATGGTTCTTTACTGAAGAGAAATGGTTCTGAATAGCTAAACAGAACCAAAGTTTTATATAGAACCATTTCATGCTCAAATGGTTTTTCAGATTGCTGGATAATGTGTTGTAGAACTTTGTGTAGAATCTTTTTGAAAATGGTTCTGTATAGCACCAAAAAGCATTCTGCTATTGTTACGATGTAAAGCTTGTAAAAAAAGTAGAACCTTTGTGGTGTTTATGTAGAACCATTTTCGAAAAGGTTCTGTAAAGAGCCATATGCAACACAGTCTAAAGAATCATATTACCATGCAAAGAAGAATTTAAGCATGAAGTGGAAACCATTCCCTTTACTAAAGAACCCTTGAAGAACCATCCTTTTTAAGAGTGTAGACTTTAAGGGGCTCATACACTACATTATGATATTTGTGTGGTCTTTTATATCAAAAACATTCAACATTTCAACATTCAACATTTATGAAAAACCTCCTTCAACATTTATGTTTACCTGTCCATTTCCAGCCTTTAACAGGCTGTTTTTGTTACTGTTCCTTTATATGGGTCTATATATAAATATGAGGTCTGATTGGCTGCACAGTATTCAGTATACAGGCTGTGGCACTCTTTAAGACTTACACATAAGTAGGCATTTCTATCCTACTGTTGACTGAATAAGCAGATGTAAAAGTACAGGTTTTTGTGGCATCACAAAATGGCTTCAAAACGGGCGATTTCTGGAGCTTAGCTTTCATATATTGGCTAGAGTGTGTATGGTACATTTTGAAATAGTGTACATCAAACTTTGCTTTTTCTGTGTTATGGCCATTTAACTCTGTCTTGTCTTTGGCCATCCTGAGCAGCTGTTACTGTATGAATACAAACGTTTTTATATCTCAGGTAGTGGCCAGCAGTCAGTGACTGGAGTCACCACAGTAGAGGACAGCAACAGTTACTGGAGTGTCCGTGGCACCAGTGGAGCAACATGTCATCGAGGGACTCCTGTGAAATGTGGGCAAAACATAAGGCTCACGCATGTTAACACAGGCCGAAATCTGCACAGTCACTACTTTGCATCTCCACTGTCATCCAACCAGGTTTGCACGCATGCATCTGTTTTGGCCTACTTTCTTCAAACAGAACCAATGTCAATGATTCAGTTATGTGTGATATGTCGTCAAACATCTCTTTATCATTTAGGAGGTCAGTGCCTTTGGAGAGGATGGTGAGGGTGACCATCTTGATGAGTGGACTGTACTTTGCGGAGGCTCTTTATGGCAGCGTGAGGAGTCGGTGCGTTTCCGCCACACAGCCACAGAAGCTCTGCTCTCGGTAACAGGGCGAGCAGTACGGCAGGCCCATCCATGGCCAGAGAGAAGTACACGCCATGACCAGCTCCAGCCAACACAGTTACTGGAAAGCCATGGAGGGTATTTTTATGAAACCTAGTGAGACAGGACCCAGGGACTTCAGCAGCCCTCCACACACTGAGTTCTGAATGGTTTCTCTTCAGCAAGCCATTGCTCTGACAGCGCAGTCGTTAAAGTTGTATTTCCATTCTAAGGAGATTAGGAATTTTGATCTGTTACTGAATTTACATTCATAAGATTGTACCTCATACCGTTACACTTGAAATACGATGACTGCACTACAGTATGAAGAGAAGATGGATGCTCCTGACAATTTTTTTGTACCACAAAAGACTTTTTTTTTTTTCCCTCAATGGATTTGTACTTAAAGGGTCCATATCATGGAAAACCAAATTGCCCATCGTGTTTTTGAAATAAAGAAGTTTAAAGGAATATCTAAACATTGGTACATTTGAAAATTTTAACATTCACTGGCTAGTCTATATGGTCCATATCTGGAAGCTATGCTACAAAATATGAGGACCAGCTGATTTTTTTATATATATATCCACCTATTCAGCCTACAGATGTTTAGCCCCACCTATCCAGTTCATTAAAGTGAGTTAATTAAATCTTAGTGCTTTTGAATGAGGCACAATACAGGGGAGCCAATCAGAACAAAGATTTTTTGTTTTAAATCTTAAATCAGTCCTAAATGCACAGTAACAAAAATGGCCTAAGGGATAAAGGGGGGTTGATAATGGTCATGTAAAAATGAATTATAACCATTTTTTGTGCATAAAACTGAACAAATGTTATAAATGGACCTCAGGGAAAAAATAAAAAAGTAGGATATGGGCCCTTTAATTTTTCAAAAGCTTAGTAATTTGTAAATTACAGGTTATACAACAGCAGTAACTAGCATAGTAGGTAATACCTTAGAAAATTTTTTTAATTAAATATTTCTACAAAAGCACTGCCATCTCTTTGCTCTCCACATGTGAGGCAGTGTATCTTTTGCTGCCTGGAGTTTTGTTTATGAGCACTGCCTTCATTTACAACAGGAACACCAGAATGGCTGGGTTATATTAAACATGCAGTATTATTTGTATGATTGTGATACTACATAAACCTTCTTAGAATGTGGTGAGTGGGTTGCTGTAGTTGACAAAGCTGTCTGACATTTAAGGTGTTGATTACCGGATGAAAGCAGTGTCCATGTCCAGGTAATGTTATACCAGCTCACCCATCAGTATTCCAAACAGTCCTCCTCTATTTGACCATAATCCCTTTATTCTTTATACAGACCATACAAATAAATCAGTTATGCATCCAACAACAGAGGTGTTTGGTTCAATCTGCATGAACATAGATCTGCTGTCTTTCACTTCCCAAGTCTAGCCGAAAAACAAACATACAAAAACCTTTGAACTTTTTTCTTGTGCCTCTAAAGCTGTCTTTGTAATTCTGTCTAGGTGTCATTCTTTGAGATTAGTGGTACATAAAATTAAGTGAATGTATGCATGTATGTTTTTGTCACTAACTGATAGAACTTGAAAGCAATTCATAAAAAAATCATAAAAAAATGCCCATAAAGTAGGGTCTTTTCTGTCATAATTTATTTAATAATAAGATACAGATTATTCACATAGTAATACAGTGTTTGATGTTTAATTCTTTAGGCTGATCAAGGCAATGGGAAAGCAGCAGAACACTTATTTACAGATTTTCTGTGAAATGACTAATGGCTAATTCATTTGTAGAAACACATCTTACATTTCCAAAAATGCACCTCAAAGCCCAAAACACTGTAGACTATATGTTTTCAAAGTAATAGATTCCACTTTATAAACTCCCTTAGAAGACACTCAAAACCTTTTCAAATACAAACATGCAAATCAGTTAGTATATTGTTATGCAGTAACAGGTCATTTGGTTTTCGAAATGGACTCAAACATTAAACTCAATATAATGAATGTATTGAAGTCAGTATTGAATCAGAATCACTGAAAGTAGTGTTTAGCTGTGAATCACTGTAAAGCCTTGATCCACGTTCATTTAAAAACAAAAAGGAAAAGAAAGTCCCAGTCTTTCCTCACTGAGGGCCAGAATGCCTCCCCGCTGCCTGCGAATTTATACCCAAACCAGCAAAAGACTTCATGTGTTAAAGCTTAGAATTATGCCTTAGAATTACAGGCCTTCAACTTCAACCAGAATGCTGACTGTAACGAGTTTGATTGGGATTAGCACTGGTCCTATATGCTCATGAAAGTTTTTTCCTCATTGACAAGACATGCTGCTTACATGACCACTTAAGTGAGAAAAACTGTTTGTAATCACTATCAGATTATTACAGGAATTGCTCCATTATAAAGCAGTTTTGTATCACAGGCAGGGCTGTTTTCCTGCTGTAAGCAGTATAAACAATCGCTTAGGGCCCACAAACCACCAGGAGACTGAGATTATGTACTTTTTAACATACTCAATATCTTAATATTCAATGTCTGTAGCAAAAGCACAGTGAGTTCAGAGATTTTGCTATTTTTCTCCAACATGAATTATGCATATATTTGTTTCTTAAATAAAGAGAATATGATTGAAGTGGGTGGGCTGCCCCCAAGTGTTCTGAAACAACCCTGATCCCAGGCTATATCTCACAAATGATGTCATGAAGTATTTATTTTAATATGTCTATGCTGTATTTTTGCATGGTGGCATTATGACATGCTGTTTTAAAGAATATATTTTTAAATTAAAATAACGTTTGCATTAAGATAGACTGGAAATCTTACTGCAGAATATTAATTACATATATTTACATAAAATTTTTTATGTAACTGCTGGGAGGCAGGTGGCACATGGTGCTTAGAGGTGACTGAAAACTTTGCTGTGTAGCTATGTGGACTTCCAACTGAACTGATATATCACTAAGCAATGGACAGAGAATGACCCCTAGCATTCAGTCCTTCCTCACTAGAAATATTACCAATTCCCCTTCATGACATGAGTGCCCAATGGCACTGCAGGGTAACTAAAAATTGTGATAGGAATTACCAAGTCTTGAGGCACCGCATTTAACACTTTTACATTTCAAATGCAGAAGGATACATCTTGGTGTTGCAGTATTACTGCACTCTGCAGAATCAGGTGGACATAAATGCATTACAATGAAGCAATTAATTAACTGGCTTTTGAAAATGGTTTGCATGAAAAACAACAATGAAGACAAGTCCACAAGAGAAGCATGCATATAGCAGTTCCAGAAAAAAAAACACCACACAAGCTTAAAAGTAGACATAGATCTTATGTTTGCAGTTCTTTTTTCATTCTTTCTTAGTGTTGGGGCAGACGCGGCACCTTCCACCCTTTCTTTCCTCAGGTTAATGCTCACTTCATCAATTGCGGCCTTAATACTGTGAAAATGAACAGGAATGGAAAGGAAAATGTTAGTATTTATTGTGTTAGGACCTGATGAAAAATGTTGGAGAGGTGATAAGCAAATTAATTCTTAATTAAAGGCCACATTTTAAAGAGCTAACAACAGTCAAGAGATTGATCAGGGTTCATCTCTCCCTTGAACATAGAATTGTATGATCCTCACTTTCTTTTATATGTTATAAGTAAGAGACCACAGGACATTACCGTTCCACTGGAACCTTCTTCTCAAGTAGGTTTGCAAAGACATACAGATGTTGTAGTGCAGTTTGATACTGAAAAAAAAATCAACAAATAAAACAACTCTTTCCACAAATTACTGTAAAACAAGTATGTTGAGGAAATATACACCTATTACTATGAGTTAGAGATTCCCACCTTTGGATCATGCCAGTTAAAACCTTTCTTTTTGAAGTACTCAACAACCTCCTTATATGTCTCGCTGCTATGGGCAGAGCTTTTTCCTTTTAATACTTGTTGAGCTTGTTCAGGAGAATCTGTGCACTTTTCCACAATTTGGTGCACAGAGTCTCTGACTATTTCTCTCGCCTTAGGAAAAACATACAAAACACAAATGATTAGAGTGAAAAAACATTGGAGAACTGTAATCATGAGAGCCAAGCCATTAGTCAACAAAAATTAAGAAAAACACCTCTACATCGAGGTTAATTTCTGCTAGTTCCCCCATGGAATTCTAGTAGTATTTTAGTGCTAAGCTAACACCAATTTACATGAACATTTTTGGCAGTTCTAGATAGCAGATATTTGAAGCTTGTAAAAGGACATCACACATGTTTTATTTTAAACTTTTGACAGACATATCAACATACAGTCATATGCAAAGGTTTGGGCACCCCTGATCAAATTAAATGTTTTATTGATTTTCTGAGTGAAATACATAGACATCCTCTACAGAAGACACACTTCTGCACAACTGTAATGCACAATTGGCTGAATTTATAAAAAAACTATGGCCAGTGTAAAGGTTATGGCACATTTTATATTCTATTTCTAATTTGTTAGACAGCATAGAAATTGTGCACTAAAATTGCTGCGAATGCCGTATTTAAGTTGGCTCCCTGTAGAGGTTAACTTATTTGAATAAGTTAGAAAATAAAACGTAATTTGATCAGGGGTGTTCAGACTTTTGCCTACAGACTTAACCCTGAACTAAAAATTACAGACATGTATTTTTATTTCACAGAAATAGGCCCCTGAGGCCCCTACTGGTGAAAACATCACCCAAGTGTTTGAATCATGGCCAATGCCTTGTGCTGAGTTATTCTAACAGGTGTTCAGGTAATAAATATTTAATGATTTGTGGATTTATTCATTAAAACCTTGATACAGCTCAAGAAAACGATACCTGTATGAGTTCATCTAGTTCCTTCTCAAATCTTGCTTTATCCTCTGGGCTTTTTGCAGAAAGAATCTTTTTCTGTAAAATTGCCACAGGGACATCGTGGCTGGCAACACAGTCTCGGGGCTCCATAGCTGCTGGCTGAGGGAAATACCAAGTGTTTCAAATACGAATAGTTGATTTTCTTCTGTTATTTCATCCACAATCTTTTTGCAGAGATCAAGCTGTAATAAGGACTAAGGAGATACTACCACTTGAAAATTGAGTCTGTTCTTTTCTATCCATGATTATGCTCTTGGCCTTTTCTGTTTATGTACAACTGACTCAGGAAAATCTATTGAAAGCTATTTTTCAAACTGTGAACTGCTGACATGCATTCACCCACCAACTGGTTTATCAGGGCAGCCCTAAAGTATGTTTACTCTTGTGTCAATTATACCTTCAGGAATGTTTCCCAGTTTTTTTTTAAGGCAAACTTTAGGAGCATCAGGTGCTGCTTTTTAAATCTGTATCAAGCACCTCACATGTTCCCATATAGTGTGCAGGCTATATGATAGCTTGGCTGTGTTTGACTGAAAAGGGGTTTGAGTGTTCAGTTTAATGGAGGACTGGCTTATATGTGCTGAGACCCATGAGAAAGCCCTGTGTTTCGTGCTGCTGGGCCGTCGCGCTCTGATTCATCCGTGTTAAAGGTTGCTGAGTCTTATGGCAGCAGCTGTCACTGCACTGCCTCTTTGATTGCTCTACAACCAGACATGGTTCAATGCGCAGTCCAACACCCAGTGTTCTCACCTGGGTCATTACTTGTCTGGGAAAGCTGCAGGTATCACTGCTGATTCTTTTTTATCATGAGGGCAGCGTTTCAAACAAAATGACTGCAGAGCTAAGAAAGTGTGGAGGCTCTTATGAAAAAGAAATCAAGCAATTTCTGCACAGGGACAGATTACCAACTGAGCTTACTAGGTACGTACCTAGGAAGTCCAGCCACCAGAGGGCCTCAACCAGCACAGATTTACAGTAGTATGACCAGTAGCCTGGGCTAGATTTTTAAAAAGGCACATAATAATGAGCCCATAAGCCCTGCAGAGGTTCGTGTCCCAGGGGCCCATGACTCAGGATTCCTCTAAGAATCTTAGAGTAAATTAAGAAAGTTATTGTAGTTTACTACAACATAAATACTATATAACAAATATTATACTTTACTATCCAATACCAGCCCGAAAACAGCAGAAAATGCAAAGGGAAAAAATTAATTCGATCAACTCTTGTAACAAATCTAGCCTGAAACAGCACATTCACTTTGTGTTATGATGTATTTCTTCCTGAGGGGCAGTAGATTGTTTGAGAAGTCAGAGCATGATTTACTCAGACTATTGTTGAGCAATTAAAAACAGCTCATTTCAAAGCTAAGTAGCTTTGAAACTACTACATTATCGCTATCGGCCTATACTTACGGTTTCAATGTTGTTATTGTTGTGCTACTCTAATTACAATAAGACAGCACTGCAGGAATATTATTCAGTGAAAATATTACTTATTATTACAGAGGTATTATGCAAAACCATATCTTATAATTTCATATAGTATTATAGATCTTTTTTGTAAGGTAGCAGCCAAACAATACTGTCTATTTGGTGAGAACATAAGTAAGTTATTTGCTACAGAAGACTGTCCGTTAGTCAAACACCCCACACAGACGGATAAAGCCCACAGTCGCTTCCAAGCAGGAAGTACGCGTTTTCGAGAAGTAACAGTTAGGCTAGAAATTAGCACTGAGCATTATATTATATTACCTTATGCTCCAGTTCCCACAGGAATATCAAAATCCATGTGTACGTGTGTACCGCGTTTGTAAAGAGTACACTCATCGCGCGGAAAAAGGGGAGCAAGGCTGTTCTTCTGAAATCAGCTCTATTTAGCAGTAGCTAAACTCATCTGTCAGTGCAGGCGAACACGGCTAACACAGCTAGCTGTGACTGTCCGCATTTCCACACCGACTGTATCCTACCTCAGTGTGAGATCCCAGCGTTTTGTGTTCGCTTTGGATGTTCAGAGAGAAACTGCAAGTGCCTGAACTCTCTCGGCGCTAACACTTTCCACGGTGGGCGAGTTTTATCCTCAGAGGCGCTGTGTTTCTACCCACCCGTACTCCCGCTCCGCCCCCTGCGCCAGGATTGGCCAGTGCTTACAGATTACGAGCAGTTCGTTGTAAAGCCAAGGGACACTCCGCCCAAAATGAAAATTTTACTATTTCTACATCTGTTGTAAACATTTTTTTATACCCTTTTTTAGTTCTCACAATCAGAAATTATTTAATGCCAAAAACAGTATGAGGAAACCAGAAACAGAAAGAGAGAGAAAAACGGAGAAATATTAATAAACAGCACTCACAATCGTTTTAAAAAGAAGAAAAGTCACAGTAATTTTGATGTATGTTGTAAACACGCTTACTTGCATACAGCTGTGTCACAGTAGTCTATTGCGTGAGATTTTCTGATTTAAAGCCTCTTTCTGATGATGTATCCTGGGGGTGGGAGGAAGTTCTAAAAAACTACAAAATCGATTTTTGGGGTGGATTTTTTGGGGTGGGCTGTTTTGAAATGTCTTTTTCCCCCATTTTTTTCATTAGCTGATAAATGCAGAAGGAAGGCAGAATGAAAGTCTAATTGCAGCCATATAACTCTGGTAACTGTCTTCAAATCATCTTTATGATGGAGAGAATGGATTACTGTTATGACAGGAATGACTTGCCAGATAAAGGGGACAACAAGCTAAAGCTAAAGTTACCAGTTTAGCTTCTTTTCTCTGGCTGAAAGGGTAAACTTGTCTCTGGCATCCATTTTGAGCTGAATAGCGACCATCACTGTTGTCTTTTGTGCAAGAATCAACTCTTATTAAGAAACTCCAGGATCTGAAGTATAATGATCCACCCACCCCTATTAAACATCGTGTGCAAATTGAAAAGCATGCTAAATAAGACAAATATCAATCTGGTTAAACTGCTACTGTGTGTCCTCTGTTTGAGGAAGTCATATGTAAAAGTGAATTATATTGGGATTATACAATAAAATGGATCCTTCTAACAATTTCTGTAACTTTCTTCAACTTTAATGAATAGGAAACTTTAAATCTTTGCATGAACCAGAGTACTCTATACTGTGACTTATACAAGATATTTATTTTCACATTCATTTAATATACAAATAACAAGTTATTCATGTTTTCTTACATTTTTATTTCTTTATTTATTTCTATTCAAAAATGATATTGCTATAAGTTCACTGTCAATCCATACCCCGCATGCAAAGTATATACTGTTTTGCATATCCATGACCCTTCTTTCTACACTTCATAAAAATATGTACATAAAAACCTCAATAACTTCACTTGGCATGCTAAAGAGAGGATTCTGGATTGAGAGCAAATTAAAACTCTTTTGACTTTTTTCCAGATTAAGAAAATATCAAAGTAATATAAACCATAGGAATATCCTACACAAAATAGTAACAGCAGTAAAGAAAGATGTCCATGCAATCAAAAACTCATATAGTCAAATAAAGACATATTAAAGTTTACAATTTTTGTGACTGAAGATAGTGATAGAAAGATGTAGATGAGTGGAGTAATGTATAAACAGACTATTGCACATGGGGGTCTGGTGATTCTGTCCACTATTTAGCCTGCATGGCAATCAACAGGAAATTAAGACAGATAAAATGATTAAATTAATTAAACATTTCAAAAATTGCATATTTGTGGTCGTATGTTTTGCACTTCAATTAGTAGATTTAGGTAGATTAATAATTTATCAATAATCATTTTAAAACACACACGCACACACACGCACACACAAACACACTTTCAGTAGTTGTTGTTGAGTGTAGGGTCTGTTACTATTTAAAGGGGAATTCCACCAATGTTTTCAAAATCTCTGCATAATTCAGTCATTGAGACGTAGACAAAGTCATTCAGTGGTTTGATGTGAAATAGTTAAAAATTGAGAACCTTATTGACATTCTTTAAAGTGAAGATGACAGGAATCAGGGGTCAAGACGAATGTCTTGACATGGTTTCTATGACAAATGTAGCTATTTTATTTACAAATCTACCACTGAATCTATGTTAGTCTTCTGAGTTTTTGTGTGTAATGTTGATAAAGTTTTCTTTGGGGACTATTTTGCTTTAGAGTGCCCTACATATATCCCTGTGCCATGCATAGATCTTTAGAAATACATTTTAGGCCATTGTGTTATCTCAAAACCATTGTAAAACAATGCCTCAGGCATTAGGCAGTGTATTCATGTCTGTGAAGGAGCTTTTTTCAGACATCTAGTTCCTATCACTATAACTGTGAACAATCTACAGTGTATGTTTTTGTTCTAGAATGCCACATTTCACAAAAAACCCCACTCAGAATAACTTTGTTTACATCTTAATGGTTGAATTATGCGGAATATTTGAAATACCGGTGGAATTCCCCTTTATACAGTATCTATATTGCAGAAGAAGGAAGGCTCACTAGATGGAGCCACCGACCAGATTTTTAAACACCGATATGCAGATTTAACAGTGCATACAACTCTGCAAAGCACTTTAAAGTATACATAATCCAGCAAACATCTCAAATGACCAATTTCTCTATGTATTATTACATTTTCTTCAAAATATACAGACATGTCCTCTTTTTCTTTTTGTTTTTGCTAGATAAAGCTCTGAGAGATGACAGGTGGACATCGTGTAGTCAGCTCATAGCCTTGTTTTAAAAAATCCAACAAACTCAGTGCTTTACATATAAGTGTAGGAACAGTGTTTGGACATGCAGGGACAACATAGTCAGGTACACACCCTTTAGACAGTTCTCCTACATGGAGTTATATACATAAACATGCATGCAGTAGGCTACATGAGAAAACATGACTTAGTTACAGTATTACACAGAAACAGAGTGAACAGGCGAAGGGAACTCTGATGTAGGCTATAGACACATCTAAGTAGATATGAACTGTTGTATTTACATTACAGATTGGGGTTACATATAGTAACGTAAAATGAAAAGACGAAGTTAAAGGAAAACTCCAGCATTTTTCAAACTAATCTCTGTCTGCCGCATTTATAGCATATACTTTGGTTAACAGAAACCAATGAGCAGTTGCTGAATCACCTGCCCGTTGGCTTCTATGAACTGTCTTTTCTGTTCTTTTCTATTCTCCATCAAATTCCACGTCAATTAAACATATGCTACAGATGTGTCAGCATAGATTAGGCTGAAAAACACTGGGGTATTTCTTTAAGAGACAGACTGATTTATTTCAGGTGCACTAGAGCACTGAATGCTGCATTCGCTGAGCCTGAGAGTGAATTGAAGTGATAATCAAAAGTGGACCAAAAAGTCCAATAACTAATCATAGACACTTCTGCAGAAGTTAGTCACTGTACTGTTACTCAGACAATATTCTTAGACTTTGAGAAGACCTCAATACTCGTTTTTTAATCAGCAAAAATGATTACGCCAACCGCTTGTTTATCTGGCGTGTCCTTAAGTTGTTTCAAATGTGAAATTACTGAAATGAACCATTTTTGTGATAGGGGATGTGTTAGCATTTAATCTGTGTACATTCCAGTATAATACAATGTATCCTAGTGACATCATATCAATGTTACATATATATATATATATAGGTGTTATGATACACAGTTTTTTTGTATTCAGGGCTGTGAGACAATATGCGCTAAGAATTAAATACAATAAGATTTTATGTATATCAGACATACAGACGTAAACTGGAATGGTTTCCACTTTTCCATTAAAAAACACACCATGATATTTCTAAAGAGACAACCACAAAAGTAAGGAAAATAAAACCCATCTGTGCTGCATGCTAAACCATTTAAATTTATTTAAATTTACTTGTTTGTCTTAATTATGCACCAGGTGTTGTGGTCTTGTTTTTGGCAAAAAATGAAAGCAACATAAAAGCTGGCATTTCTTTTTTTCTTTGTTATACATTTTGATGGTGCAAAAACCAAAATGCATACCTTATCACAACAAATGTGTATCATTACACCCCTTTTAATATATATCTTTATATATCAACGCTGTCAGATCAAAATATCATATCTCCAAAAAAAACTTTACAGGACATTCTTGATATTTATAATTGACGTAAGTTAAAGTGACCATATTTTATTTTATTCTAAGTCATTTTCTCCATTTGTCCATTTGTCATGAAATTTGATACAATGTAAAGAGTAAGTATTTTCATATTAAACCAGTCTCAATGACTTTGCTTATATTTGTTTACACTTGATGTTATTAATTAAAATTAATAACATCAAAAATGGAGATCTCTCTTACTCTCTATCTCTCTCTCTTTAAATATATATATATATATATATATATATATATATATATATATATATATATACATAGAGAGATAGAGAGAGAGAGAGAGAGAGAGAGAGAGAGAGAGAGAGAGAGATTAATTGTTTACCACAGCATATTGGAGTGAAATTAAATAATGAACAGAAAGTGTTCATCAAAGTGTAGATTGTTAGCTTCAATTATAATCATCTTCATACACAACAATCTCCCCTCCCACCATCACTTTTTAGGGGCTCAAATGTAATTGGACAAACTAAATAACTGACCCAATAAATTGTCATTTTAATGGTTACGGATGGTTATTATTATTGGTTGCAAATCCTTTGCAGTCAATGACTGAAGTCTGGAACCCAAAGACGTCACCAGATGCCAGGTTTTTTCCCTGGTGGTCCTCTGACAGGCCTTTACTGCAGCAGTCATCAGTTCCTGCTGGTTCTTGGGTTGTTTTAAATTCAGGTTTGCCTTCAGTAAGTGAATTGCATGCTTGGTTGGATTAAGGTCATGTGATTGACTTGGCCATTTGACATAAGAATATTTAACTTCTTTGCCCTAAAATATCTTGGATTGCTTTGTCCATCTGCACTGTGAAGGCCTGTCCAATGAGTTTTGAAGCATTTGGCTAAATCTGAGCAGATAAATCTGAGCCCTATAGCCTTCAGAGTTCATCCTGCTGCTTTTGTCAGTAATCACATCATCAATAAGCAATTCAGCTATTTGGTACATTTTTAGAAAGGGACCCACTTTGACTGGCAGCCATACATGTCTACACCATAACACTACCTCCACCATGTTTGACAGATGAGATGGTACGCTTTGGATCATGAGCAGCACTTTGCTTCTCCATACTCTTCTCTCCCCATCACTGTGTTACAAGTTGATTGACTTTGTCTCATCTGTCCATAATATGTTGCTTCAGAACTGTACAGACTTTTTTAGATGGTTTTTTGTTTGCATTTTTCTTTACCAGTGAAAGAATTCTTGTGTCATCCACCACAGCTATCTCTCTGATGGATTTGTTTTGATTTACACCCTCAAATGGCTTGCTTCATTAGCAACCCTTTGGACTTCGCATTAAGAGGTAACCGCAACAGATTCCAAATGCAAATGCCACAATTAAAATCACTTTAAAACATTTTACCTGCTTACTTGTAAGTGAACAACACACCTGGCCATAGAACAGCTGAGCCAATTATCTAATTATTTTGAGCCCATAAAAGGTGAGGATATGTATGACTATGGTTCTAATTCCTACACTGTTTACCTGAGATCCCCAAATTAAAATTGCATGTCTGCACTTTGAGCTCATATTCATTATTTGGTGGTTATTTCAACTCTGATACGCTGCTGTGGACTGCTAAAATGAAAATAACTTTGTTGATGTCCAAATATGTAAGGACCTATAACTGTACATTCATAAAGCCTTCAAAAGCCAAACAAAATGCCCATTCATTATTTAGTGTGCTTTGATACAGGTTATGTGACCCCTCTCTTTACTCAACGCTAAGTTTATTCTCGCTTCTATTCAGTAAGGACAAATACACAAGCATGCGTGTGCGTGAACAGACAATGAATTTAATTCAATGAGAGATATTTGTGGGTATCCACTGCCAATCAGTCTCCTCCTCATTACTCGTAGCTCAGATGGTGTGGAGTCTGATATCATCCGGACAGATGTCTTTGCTTTCACAGCTTGTAGAGACAAATGTACACACAAATGCAGGTAAAGGGACCCTGGGTCTTATTGCATTAAAGGGACACCAGGGAAGAGCCCTTGTGTCTCTCTGATAGAGAGATAAAGGGAGGGTAAACACCTCTTAGTGTAGTTTCATTAAGTTGTCAGTGTGGGTCTTTTATTACATCCAAGTGGTGGCTCCAGTAGAGCTGAAAAAGTGGTACTTCATCCATACTTGAAACCTGGATGTAAGTCTTACGAGTTTTACCACACAGTTAAATCCAAAGACTTCTTCAAGCCTGATTACAAATGGGTGTCAGTGTATTTTTTTGCAGTTTGCCTTGTACGTGGCTAGATGTTGTTTGCCATATGAAGGTTAAATGGAGCTCAGGTAAGAGTACTCAGAGTTCACAGTGGGCGGGGCTACTCCATGCCATTACGCAACATCTGATTGGCCGCAATTAGCATGACGCTGATAATGAAGGCCATCGCAAAAGCGCAGATGAGGCTCTTGCGGACGCATGTCTGCCGATTCTTCTTTTTAGAATGCACTGATGGAGTCACATAGAAGAGAAGGAAAATATAAACAAACGTGAAGCTGCAAGCAGATATTGAAACAGACTTGAAAACAGAGAATTGGACATTGTGGAGGGAGCACACAGTATGCATAAGCATAAGCCGTCCAAACAGAGAGAGCGATCAGGCAGGGCCGTCTGTCGCTGTGCATAATGAGCCTTTGAATGTGCAGAACAATGATTTGGAGGACACAATACACATGGCTCCACTGTATGGTCTCAATGGACTCAATAAACATAGTTTGAATATAATAACCATTTTTCCTCTCATCCTCTCTTGTGGTCACATGAATACATTACTACAGCTGAGTTAACAACATGTAGTGAAATTCTCAGCCCATTTCCACCCATGCATTTTCACTGTTTAATTGCAAACTAATGCAAATTCAGACTTAATGATGGGAGACTGGTCTGACTATAGACCATATTCAACATAAAATCACTGTTGTAACAAAACCTCATTTCTATAAAAAGTGCCAATTTGTTACATTTCATGTAATAATTTGCATTCTTTGTGCATTTTATTTTAAAGCCATTGCCAAGAGTTGAACCACAATCAGTCAGTAAAGCAGTAATAGCTGATCTTCTGCCAGGCTTTACCGCTTACCTCCCTCAAATTCAGTCTGGCAGTTTCCTGAGTTCTCCTTTAGGCTCTCCTCTTCATTCACAATGATGTTTTCAATGTCCTTCATGGTCAGGTGGTCCCGAAAAGCATGGAAGAGGACTTGTTTCAGCTCCTCCAGAGACATCTGCTGCATGTCAAACTGTAGGGAGCAAACACAAGTGTGGAATATTACAACACTTTATAGCCAGGTGCTCTTTTTTCTGTGAAGAGGGGAACCAGTTCTGAGAATGGAGAACAATATGCTGTTATAAACCAACTGACACATAGCCTTGCTGCTTTACAGCACTGTGACTCACTTACACAACTCAACTAAATCTAGTCAAATCAGAATTTATTATGGGATATGACAGTCAAATTAAAATAGCTGAACTTTCTACAAGAGAATGTGGGTACATTTTCTTGTTACTGGAGATGGCACCATCTGGTACTTGTATTAGTTCAGTATCAACAGAATCTAGTGTAATGGAAATCAGACAAATAATTACAGATTCTGTAACAAATCCAGCCTAAAGTATCACAGAATTACTTGTTGCACAACATAAAGCACATGTAGCCTTACATTAATGAGTTTAACTGAATAAAAAAAGCTATAGCTGTGTTTAACCCTTTAACAAGCCAAAGTTTTATTACACACTTCTATAACCTAAGAATAGCTCCATTAGTTTGTATTGAAGTCCCTGTAGTTACCAAATAATAAGACTTTGTATGTAATAAACCTGGAATGTTAAGAGGTCAACACATTTTGTTGTCTATGTATTTCATGCTGTAGGCTAGTAGTGTCTGAGCAGCTGGAGCATAGAACTTTAAGATAGCCATCTTAAGTGAAATGCTTCAACTAAAGTGACACATTTTTAAGTAGGATTTCGAGGCAGGCAGATATCATTACATTTTGATGGTCACAGATTTCCTGTCCTGGCTCTGCTTTTTCCAATCTCCTCCTATGTCTTCTCTTCCCTTCTCAATGTTTGTCACCCCTCTGCCCTTTCCAGTCTCCTCCCATGTATTCTCTTCCCTTCCCATTGTTTGGCACCCCTCCTTTTCTGGTTTTTAGAGTCTTGTTTTTGGTCCTTGGTATATGTTAGCCCTCCTTGACTCTTTGTACTTCACTCCTTAAGATGGTTTTTGATTGTGTACAAAATGAAAAATCTTAACTATTGTAAACCATTTTCTGACAACAGGTTCTTTTCCAGATGCTTGTAAAACTGCCCTGGTGAAGCCTCTACTAAAAAAAAGTAGCATGAATACTTGCATGCTAAATCATTTTAGCCCAATTTCTAACCTTTCTATTTTAAGTAATGTGTTTAGAAAAGTTGTTTTCCAAAATCAATGTGTATCTAAGATCAAATCTGTTATTTGAGAAGTTTCAGTCAGGTTTTCATTCTAATTATAGTACTGAGACAGCATGGGTATGTGTTGTCAATGACCTCAGGCTTCCTTCTGTTTTGGTCTTATTGGATCTTTGTACAGCTTTTGATATCATTGACCACAAGACTATAATCCACTGTCTTGAGTACTGGCTAGGCCTCTCAGGCACAGTTTTAGAATGGTTTAAATCATATTTAATGAATCGACAGTTCTTGCTTTCACTGCAAAATCATTCTTAAAAAAAATGTAACATTTCTTGTAGAGTCCCACAAGGTTCACTTTTAGGGCCTTTCCATTCCTTCTGATAATCAAGTTGACAGATTTACCAGCTATGTCAGATATTTGTCAGATAAATCAAGAAAAAAAACTGAAATACTGATCCTGCAACTTAAATTTAGCTACTAGTTTTTAAGGCTCAAAATGACCTTAACACAACCACTCACAGCATAGAATGTCTGTCTGTGTATGTTCCGACATGTGATCTGTAGATACTGGCCTTCTGCAATTACCTTCCGTAACATACAGAAAACATGGAGAGTCATTTTCCTCTTTCAGTTATTATGCTTCTAAACTGTGGAACTCAATTCCACCTTTTATTAGACAGTCAATCTCAGTGTACACTTATAAGAAACATTTGAAAATGTATCTCTTTAACTTAGCACTTAATTAAAATTCTACGTCTCTTGGTATTTATCTCTTAATTTGATCTGTGTCATTGCCTTATATAAAATTTAAATTAAAACTCATACTTTCTTCTATTACTCCTAAGCTTTATTATCTGTCTGTAAAGCACTTTGAGCTGCTACTGTATAAAAAGTGCTCTACAAATAAAGACTATTATTATTATTATTATTGTTATTATTGTTATTATTATTATTATTATTATTATTATTATTATTATCATCATCATCATCATCAAATCATTACTTATTACTTATATTATTTACAACAAGCCTTTCCTTTTTGATTTTCTTAGAATGGTGCAGGAAACTAAACAGAAATGGCTGCCAACAGAGAGAATCCCTACTTTTCTCTTCACGTCTGCTTAGCTGATTTATGAGATCAGTCTAATTGGCATCAAGAAAAGGACACTCTACAGTCAGCCGTTTTATCACATTATACATTTGGGAACATATTCTCCAGTACAACTGTCCTTTGCTCAACTGCTGAGCTGTCCTCTTACATTCTCTCCTGTCACAGAGCAGCTGCCCCAGAAGAATAAAGTATTTATATATTTATACAGTATATATGGAGATATACTGTCCTGCAGCTGCAGATGGAGAGACTCATATATGTAACATTTAGCTTGGAAAAAAAAATCCATTTCTGTTTGAAAAAAAGAGAAGGAGAGAAGAAGGAAGAGAAACAATAGAGGAACAAATTAAAGAGGATCTTACAATGATTTAATAATGTATTACCGCAGAGAAACAGAGCCAAACTCTATCTGTTCAGCAATGTTGTTATCTAGGGATCTCACAAAATCCTTGAGCCAGCTTTGCAGCGATTGCAGGATGGCGTTAGTCCCTGCCCAGTCAATGAATTATTGAATTGCAAGAGACATTGCCTTCATCATCCACTAGTCTTTGCTTCAAATAAAGGATACAAGAAACAGCTGCCAACTATACTGCGCTGAAGCACATAAGATATGCAAGAGACCGATAGACTTTAATCCATTAAGCACAACTCACTTTGAGTTTGCAGAGATGCCAAAATGTTCCCAGAGCAGCTATTTGAATTTGTGTGGTAATTACGAGATATTACATGGTGGAAGTAATAGCGTAATAACCAGTAAAATATATTCTTCCTGGGAAATCTAAGCTTGTTATAACTATAACTGTTTTTATTAATCTCCACACATTTCATTTACATCTGCAGCAAACTGCTGTTAAATACAGCCAGCAAATTAGCTCTGAGTGAACACACACACTTGTCCAAACACATTATAGATAGTGTCTAGTTAATATAACAGCAAAAGTTGATGATCCATGTGTCTCACTCCTATATCGAACCCTAACCCATTCATATCCTGCAAAGTACTTACATCAAAGAGGAAGGAAGCAGTGACTTACAAACAAGTGTAATATATGTTGTACAGTTAAGAAAATTTGCCAAAAATGAAAAAAAAGATGCATGTCTATGCATCATTATTCTGTCCAAATATGGTTCAGCTCTACAGTAAATGGACCTTGTTCTTAAGGGGGGGCTTCTTCCTCCATCTTCCCATACATCAGGCATTGCACTACTTTTAAACTGCAATATACGCTACCTCATGCAGACTCCCTTTTGTGTAAACTATCATTCTATGTGATTTAGCCCCAAGGCTATCACTCTGGTAGTGGGAGGTATTCAGGTTTTGTCTCTCGCCTCTGCCCCCTAGAGTCCAGCTGCAGAAGCAGTGCCAGTCTCTTATCAGCGTGGGCTGACAGCGGCTGTCAGAAAGCAGGGCTATACGTCTCTGTGGAATAGTATCAGTGAGGCGGGCTCTCCTGGACTAGGAGAACAGGGTTGGAAGTGTCTGCTTCTTTGTTCAGACAGAAATCAGACATCTGCCCCCCTCTTACTCTCACCCTGGGGATACTGTTCCACCCCAGTCAGCTCTATTTGTTATGAATGCAGTGAAATATAGGAAAGCCAGACATATTTATGCGTCTTTTGTGAGGGGATCAATTACATTAGATGTGTTCTGTTCCCTTCATTGGCCTGTCTTCTCTCTGTCTTCCCTCCAAGTTTGTCCTAGTTTGCCTTTTGTTTCATCTACTCCAGTGACCTTCAGAGGGAAAGCAAAGGCACAGGAGATAAAATCAGCAGATCTGAACAGCGGACTAACAGGGCAGTGAATAGGAGAGTACATCAAAGAAAGTGATGCATTTAATCTACTTGGTTCTAATGTGCACATCATTATCACACGAAAAATGTTATTACATCAGCACAATTTTATCTTTCAGTTTACATATTTTTAGTGCATATTTTTGCAATAACTATTTTAATATGATATACAATAATGTGCAAAAGTCTTAGGCAGTCATGAAAATTGTAAAAGTATTTAGTTTGTCAGTATTTGTGTTTTTGTAATAACACTGTATACTATTAGAATACATTAGAATCAGCTCAAATAAACATAAATGCAGTAAAACGAAATCGTTAATAAATCTTGGTTAGAAAAATGCAGATAGAAGAACAAATGTTTGGTTTCTGACTTTTAAGTACGCTCCAGCCATTGCATGGATTTGTTAAAGTACAATAACAGCAGACCAGATTTAAGCCTATTTCACAGTAGCCATACAATGCAATTTGCTCTTTTTTACACTTTGCGTTTTTTTTTCTTGGAGCAAACTGGATTTTCATCTTTGTAGGCGAGCAAATATTTGAAAAGTCAACATTCATGAAATTGTTTTTATTGTGTTTAATTGTTATTTTTGTGGTAGTTGATTAAGATCATATCAACAAAGCTATAGTTTTGCTGTCTGTTTTATCTCAGCACAGCCATCTTTGTGGAGAGGTGTGAATGGTTTTCACAGCAGGGGGTTCTCACCCCTCCCATTTCATCCCCCATTGCTCACTAGCAGCTCAACACAGAGTCACAACATTTCACACAACATTGTGAAAATTGAGCCAACAGTACCCTACATACTTAAAAATGATGGTTCTTCAGGGGTTCTTTAGTAAAAAAAATGGTTCTATATAGAATCATGAACACTCAAAGAACCCTTTGCAGGATTAAAGCGTTCTTTGCATCATGAAAGGGTTCCTCAGATTGATGGAGAATGTGCTGAA